GATTGTGCAAAAGATTATCGAGCAACCTCCTTGTTGCACAAGTTTTTCCCAAAGTCCGGTTTATCTTGTGGTGGATGAAAAAGAAAATTTTCTCTAATTTGCTAATCTGGTAGCAAATGAAGATAAGAAATGCGTCTCTTGATTATAGTGATTACTTAATACGTGATACTTGATATTTAATAATGATGTCTATATGAAATCCCCGAAAGATTAAAAAAAAAGGACATGATTCCCAATTCTCAAGAAATTAGTTCAAAAGATTTGTGCAAGTTATAACGTCTTCATGTGTCTAGATATTTAGGTTCATATTTTTTTAATATAATATGCTATGTTTCTTTTTATCTAGATATGTTATGTTTGTTTGTAACATGATTTTCTATCTGTTTTTATGATCATATTTGAATGATGAGATGACTAATATTAGAGTGAGTATTCATAAGTCATATGTGCATTTAAAATTTTGTTAGCACCGAACCCTTGTAGAGTTTCAAAAGGCTGAATATTATCGAAACTTATCACGAAGTTTGAATAGCCTGAATATAAATAAAACTCCTGAAGAGTATCATAGTTATGAACATTTTTAAGGAAGTTCAAAAGGTTGCTACTTGCCTGAAGCAAAAATAATGAAAAATTTTGAGTAGAATCTCGGTCTAAATAGTTTGACCTTTGTGTATTCAACACCCGTTGAGCGCACTTGATTAAAATCTTGATGTGCATATAGATCATTCTTCTTGACTTTCTATTAATGATGTATATCGATTTGGTCATGAAGTACCATATAAAGTTTCGGTTCAATAATCAATTAGTTAAGACCTGGATATTGTATATTGATACCTCAAGGTATGATGATGATGCATCTCCACTATTATAAAACACTAAAGATTATACAGGTATATGAAGACAACCGTCTATATGAGAAGTCGAAATAATCTGTCTATTATTGACTTAAACAATCAGGAACCTGATCAATAGCTTGGCATGTAACGAGAAGATTACAAGTGACGTACTTAACAAGAGGAGTAACCCACACTGTACTCTTTTTCCCTTGATCGAGGTTTTGTCCTAATGGGTTTTCCTGATAAGGGTTTTAACGAGGCAACGTCACATTCAGAAGTGTACTCTTTTTTCTTCACTAGGGTTTTATCCCAAAGGATTTTTCCTAGTAAGGTTTTAACGAGACATTATTTCGCAGAGATGGACATTCAAAGGGAGAGTATTATGTAATATTTAATTTGATTTAATTGAATGTCCATAATTAACATGTACTCCCTCCGTCCCATAATTATTGTCCATTTTGCCCAAAAAATTTTGTCCCAAAATTATTGTCCAATTTGACTTTTTATGAATCAAGTTACACATTTGTCCTTAGTAAAAAACATTATCCATAAAATCTTAGTGGTTAAACAATTACTTATGTAGGGTATATCCGGTTGTTTAAGGTAAAATATAGTTAAATTTGACCAAAAATAAAATCTTTTATTTTAGTAAAACTGGACAATAATTATGGGACGGAGGGAGTATTATTCTATTCACAATCAATGAGATATGATTATGTCATATTTAGCATTAATAATAGATGATTCATTTCCCACAGTTTGATCCCTTACTTCTTGTATAAATAAGGAACTCATTCATGTTTTAAAAGACATCTGAATACAAATCTTTTATCTCTCTCCATTCTCTTGTCTTCTTTCTTTTGTTTTTATGCTTAGTATCATATTAGTAGTCTAGCATAAATTTTATAACAAATGTTACGATTTCAAAGTTTTTGGGATGATAACTCAAAGAAAAGTCAAAAAGTCATCAATCGAAACAACTAAACAAAGTACTTTGTTTTGTCTGTAAGTTTAAGTGGTCACACCTAATCTACTTAATTCTAGTTCACATTAATCACTTAGGTTTGGGCTAACCTTATCTTTGATTAGTTCCACTGTTTCTACTTTCTACCAACAGGAGGGTGCAAGTCCTCTGGAAATCTACCAAATAGCAAAGAGAGGATGAAATTCGTAAATTTTCACAAAAGTATAATCATTTATCATTAATCAACACATATGGTAGTATTTCGTTATCTATATTTGTTCTTTATTCTTACCCTTATCCCAGAAAAATGCTCATTTTTTTTTATTATTTTAATTCAACGAATTAGATTATATATTTTTTTGGGACAGAGAGAATAATTTTTTGGGAAATATTATAGTTTGCTTTGGTAACGAGTTGGGAGGTAGTAATCTGATTAATTGGAATGGAGGATTATAATCTCATGATTTTTTTTTGGTTGAAATAATATCAAGATTTTGAGTTCAAATATTGGAGTAGTAAGATGTAATTTGTCTTTACTTCAACTAACAATTTGAATACTTTTCCCTTGCCACAGAAAGGATCGTAGTCTAAAACTACTTTTCCTGTTTTTATCGAAAATTTCCTTCATACAAAATAAAAAACATGACTAAGTATTTCTTTATGCATAAAACACAAATTAGTGTTGTTTTTTCTTTTAACTCCATGCCATCCTGATGGAAAACCGATATCTAAATGTCAAAAAAAATTCACTTATAATTTACATTGCAAATCAGGGGACTCTATTTCAGCAGAGCATATTTCACTCAAGTTTTTTTAATTTATAATGTATTGTAATATTATTTACTCTGGCCATAAAAGTTCTATAGCTCTATGATATTTTGTTTTGAGTGAACCTCAAACCAAATCATCAACCTTTAATATATTTTCACTCTAGGTCATCAATTAAATTTATTTGTAACACAAGTTACCTTACTAAAGTTTTAATCCATTTCAGATTATTCTGTTAATTTTGGCCGTTAAATAGTGACGGAAATCCATTTTTCACATGTTTTTGGGTTCAGGGGTATTTTTGTTATTTTTTTATTTTTTATTTTTAATCTTTTAATTTTTTTTTTTTTACAATTCTTCTTCTTATACTATCTAACTTGTATATACTGGTAGTATAATTCTAAATTTTAAAAATTTATTTTTCGTTTGTATTTTAATTTCTAGATTATAAATTTTTTTTAAAAAAAAAATTAGAAATAAAGAAAAAAAATTCGAGTTAAAGTAAACATGAAAATAAATAATTTACCATTTAAGAAAAAATTAAAATAATTAGCTAAGACAAGTTGTTTCTTCTAGGTTATTTAATTTTTTTTCAACTCCATTAAATTATTTAATTATTAATTTTCACGTTTCTTATTCCTTTTTTTTTAATAATCTACAAGTTAATATACAAATGGAAAATTAATTTAAAAAAATGAATTTTTTTTTCATTTGTATCTTAACTTCTAGATTATAAAAAAAAAGAATAAGAAACTTGAAAATTAATAATTAAATAATTCAATCGAGTTGAAAAAAATTAAATAACCTAAAAGAAACAACTTGTCTTAGCTAATTCTTTTAGTTTTTTTTTTTTGTTTAAAATGGTAAATTATTAATTTTCATGTTTACTTTAACTCGAATTTTTCTTCTTCATTTCTTAATTTTTTTTTAAAAAAATTTATAATCTAGAATTTAAAATATAAAAGGAAAATAAATTTTTAAAATTTAGAATTATACTACCATTGTATACAAGTTAGGAAGTATACGAAAAAGAATTGTAAAAAAAAAAAATTTTTTTTTAAGATTAAAAAATAAAAAAATAAAAAATGACAAAAATACCCCTAAACCCAAAAGAATGTGAAAAATGGATTTCCGTCACTATTTAATGGCCAAATTTAACAGAATAATCTGAAATGGATTAAAACTTTAGTAAAGTAACCTGTGTTACAAATAAATTTAATTGATGATCTAGAGTGGAAATATATTAGAGGTTGATGACTTATTTTGAGGTTCACTCAGTTTGTTTTTGCATAGACTATTTCAAGTTCAAATATTTTCCTAACAGTACCAATTGCAGCTAAGTATTGGTTACCCAAACAGAGAAAGGTAAGTTAGAATTTCTTAGTCAAGTTAAACCACCGTCCTAATCCCTATCCTTTGTTTAATGTCGTCACAACAAATTATTGTGAGTATTTTTATCATTACAAATTGATTTTTTTGGCTTATTTTAGTTCCCAGTTTCAAAGAAGATAAAAACACTATCGCGAGAGATAGAGAGTTTTCCTCAGTATTATCACCTCTATGCTTTTGGAATTTGAAAGGTCTAATACAATTTACACCAAATCCCAAAATAATCTTTTCAATTTATGCATCACTGACGTCTTATCTTTGTCTTCTATTTTGTAATTTTTGGATTGATATGATAAGATTTAAATGCTTGATTTCGTGATTATAATCCCTACATCAACTGGCACAACACTTTCACTTGTTTTATAATAATCTATTTACTCGTACATTTAACGAGTTAAAAAATTATTATTTTTAATCTTAATATTATTTTGATTCAAGCGTATTATTTATTTTTCATTTTTAGGTGCAAGATTGCTTTTTTTTATATAAGTTTCAATAGAATATTATTTTCTTAGAAGAATATCGATTTCCCAAATTAAGGTAGAATTTTATGTAACAGGCCAGTTCTGATGAAAGTTTCAAAAGTTATTTTCAATTTCAAACTATAGATATGATAACATCCATAATTTTGAAATTTAGATTAAGAAAAGTCAGTACCATGAGTTGATATAATGAAACTCTTAAAATCCATAATTTTGAAATTTACACCGACTATTTTGCAAACAACTTTGACTTACATTTAATTTTGAAAAGTATGTAACTTTCTCCATCATTTTTGTTAGGAATTGTTTGATATTGAATTTCATTTTAGCTACATTTGGTAAACTTACTTTACTTTCCACAAGGTAATCCAATAATAATATGATAAAATTAGTGTTATAGGGTGGATGTATGTTAACAAAGAATAAGTAAAAAGGAAAAGAGTAATAGAAAATTCAAAATTGTGAATATTTAAATATACAAAAAAGTATAAATAGAAACAAATTTCCTTTTTTTCCTGGGTTATATTTTTTCTTCCTTTTTTGTGTGTTTTTTTTTTTTTTAAAAAAAAAATTTATCTGCAACAACACAACACTTTTTTCTCATTTTCCTCGTATTCTTACCATTTTCTTCTACATATCTAATCTCTCTTTTCATTCTTACACAGATCCCTCTTTAGAATCTTTACCTCAAAACTTCCCCGTGGATTTCGATTTTTAAGATTCTGCTTCCCAATTGTCCCTTCATCCCTTCTGCCTTTTGTTTCTGCAGGATAATGGGATCCATTCCTGGCCTTCAACAAACCAGGCCTTCCTCTGTTCCAACCGGAAATGGGGACCGAATTTGTCCGAATCCTTAAAAAATGAACAAATATGTGAATATCCTCAATCCCATGTTCATATAACAAGAATTGATTTCTGGGATTTGTTTTTTTTTTTGAGGTTAATTTTATCTGTTTGATTTTTCCCCCTTTTCTTTTTGGTGTGGGATTTTTTTTTTTTTTTTTGCATGGTTTTTTGTTCTGTGGATCTGGGTCATATTCAAAGATTGGAGCTTTTAGGTGATTGAACAGGAACATGTTTCTTGTTTGTTATGGTTAGGATGATTAATTGGGTCCGGCTTTGAATCAAGGAGGAGCGAATTTTTAGTATTTTGTTTTTGTTCATTTGACCCTAAAATTTTTGGGGTGGATAAATTAGCTGCAATTGTAATCATGGATCATGTCATTGGTGGTAAGTTTAAGCTTGGGAGGAAGATTGGCAGTGGATCATTTGGAGAGCTCTATCTGGGTAATTTTACTTTCCATTCTGCACTTATGTATCAGCCGTTTTTACCTTTGCATCTGTTTACAGCTTGTTGATTCCTGCATAATATTTATTTGCGTTTCAGGTGTGAATGTGCAAACTGGAGAGGAAGTTGGCGTGAAGCTCGTAAGTTTTCATTTCGTTATTGCCTTTGTCCTTGAAAGAGATTTCTTTTGTATACTTGAATAGATATGTGCTAGCTCAGATAATGATTCTATCAATGGCATCTTAATCAATTTTCAATGCCTTCTCTCTCCCTGTATTTGTTAATCGAACCTTCCTGTAGTTTATGAAATGTGAATATGTTATGCTATATATATATATATTCCAACTTATTGAATTTATTCACCAAAAAGTCATTGAATTTCTTCATTGAGTCTCTTAGAAGCTAATGTTGAATCTTGGATGTTTGTAAAGTTACTATTATGATTTTGGGTTGCTTCCTCATCCTAGATATGTTATTTTTGATCCCAGGAACCACTTAAGACCAAGCATCCGCAGCTGCACTATGAGTCAAAGTTGTATATGCTTCTGCAGGGCGGAAGTGAGAACTCCTGCCCTTGATTTCTTCTTGAATTGTTATGTTATAGCAATTTCACTGATTCCTCTTTTTGTATCCTGGGTGGCTTGAAGCTGGGATTCCCCATCTCAAGTGGTTTGGAGTTGAAGGTGAATACAGTGCCATGGTTATTGACCTTCTCGGCCCAAGCTTAGAGGACTTGTTTAACTACTGTAATAGGAAGTTCACTTTGAAAACTGTTCTCATGCTAGCAGATCAGTTGGTAAGTGGCTCATTGCATTGTATTTGCTGCATTTACCTGCTGCTTTGATTCTCATCGGATTTCGTGTTTTTCAGATTAATAGAGTTGAATACATGCATTCCAGAGGCTTTCTGCACCGTGATATTAAGCCTGACAACTTCTTAATGGGTTTAGGGCGCAAAGCAAATCAGGTTTGTTAAATGTTCCTATCCAGTTTTCCGAGTATCCTTTTGGTACCTATAGGCTTTTGGAGATGATAAATATTTGTTGAGCTTTATTTTATAATACATGATACTTACTGCATGACGGTGAAGGACATAGGCAGTGTTTTCTTTGTAGTTGGATTTTTAATCCTAGGACTGAACACCCATTTGAGGTTTTTCTGTTTGAATCTTGAGACGATAAGTCTGTAAATCTATGGAATAATAGCATGTAAGTTTGTGACATACTAGTGCACTCTATCATTATAAAAAGTATGAAGCTCTAACTTATCTTTGCCTTCTTTTCTTTCACGTACAACATAGATGCTAATCTATACTTAGTCGATGGTCGTACTCTTATTTGGGGGTTGTAGCTTCTCGATTGTGTTTCTTCATTCATCTTACAACCCAACACGTTAGTATTGCTGTATCTTTTAAAGCAGCTGATGCTTTACCATGGAAATGTTAGAATGCCACGCATGCTTATATTGTGTGCCTTTGTTCGCTTTTTATATCACCACATGTATTTGCAAACGTTAAATGTGACACATGTACATTTACTCTGTCCAATGATTTTCATACAACTGCAAACAATAAATGCGACACATCTGCGATTACTCTGTCGAATGATTTTCGTGGGACTATCTTGTTTTGTAACAGGTATACATTATTGACTATGGCCTTGCCAAAAAGTACAGAGATCTTCAAACACATAAACACATACCGTACAGGTATTGGATATGTACATACATTTCAGTTAACATTTATTAAATGAAAATGCAGTTTTGATCATTCCTTCTTGATGAGGCACGGTACTAATATATGCCAATAAACCAACACTTTCTCCTGAATTCGTTAGTTTCAAAATGAGTCAGCCGCTTGTTATTCTTAAATTTGCTCTATCTTCTACAGGGAAAACAAAAATCTTACTGGTACTGCACGTTATGCTAGTGTGAACACTCATCTCGGGGTTGGTAAGTGACTCAAATGCAACTGCTGATAAAATATTCTACATGGATCTTTTGATTTTGTCTACTTTCTGCACTGAATTGCGAGCTGAAAAGTTGTTCTTTCTCTTATTTTCAGAGCAGAGCAGAAGAGATGATTTGGAGTCTCTTGGTTATGTGCTTATGTATTTCCTGCGTGGAAGGTTAGACAGAAGTTCCCTACACGTCTGTTATCCTTCTTCTGTTCACAAGGATCTATATCTGATTATGTTTGTGTTTTATGTTTAAGCCTTCCATGGCAGGGACTGAAAGCTGGAACTAAAAAGCAGAAGTATGATAAAATTAGTGAGAAAAAGATGCTTACTCCCATTGAGGTGATTTTCCAGTCGGCATGAGTGTTATTTGAAACTTAGAAAGTTTGCCTAGCTAAGTGATTTGGAAATTACATACTCTAATGCTTTCTGCAGGTGCTCTGCAAATCCTATCCATCAGAATTCACATCATATTTTCATTATTGCCGATCCCTGCGTTTTGATGACAAGCCGGATTATTCATACCTAAAAAGACTTTTTAGGGACCTTTTTATTCGAGAAGGTAATTAGTTTATCTCTGATTTCTGGTGTATGTTTGCTTTTATGCAGTCTTGATCTCATCAATCTTTTCCCATGCATATGCTTCTGCTGTGTGCACCATCAGGTTATCAATTTGACTACGTCTTTGACTGGACTGTATTGAAGTATCCACAGATTGCTTCAAGTTCAAGAGGAGTGAAAACCCCAGGTCTGTTACTAGTCTAGAAATGTAATTATCATTTTCTAATATGGTATTGAAGGCCAGTTTAAGGCTGCATTCGATTTATATAATATCTGGACGAGGTCTTCTCGTGATTGTTGGTTGTATTTTATGTTCTGCTGAATTTCTATGCACCTTTTCATTCCAAATGTAGCTTTATACATTTTTGATGCATCTTTTTACATCTTTTGTTTGAATCCAAACTGAGACTAAAGATGAAACACTAGCCGACTGGCCCCTCTTTATTATTCCTTCTCTGTTTTTCATACAAGCTTCTTGTAACGTAAGGTCCACCATTCCCATCTTCCATGTTGAGGAAAGGAAAAGAGGAAGAGAATAAGATAAAAAGGTTCAGCAATTTCTGTAAACAGAAGCATAGAGACTTGGAACTAGCTGGAGATGCAGAGGCAATGGTCTTGTAGAATACACTTTAATTTACGAATTAATAGAATAGTTTGAATTTACTCAAAGGAATCACTAAGCACTAGAGTTTATGAGGCCTATCTGCTTTCTCGTGAGACGTGATATACTATCGTTTTATTTCTGCTTGGTGTAATATATTTTAATGCATCTATCCTTTTGAGAAGTTTGAGAATAAACTTTTCAGGTCTCATTTATGGATGTTCATGTACTAGTTTGTGTAGTTAATTGTGGCAATTGAGACCTGAATTTGCATTTAATTATATAACAGAAGGGGAGTTTACAATGCGATTTATTTATTTAGATTTCTGGGCTTACCTTGTTGTAATTACACACATTTGGAAAGATACTGAAGTTGAATAGCTGAAAAACCAGCTACTTTTAGGTTTTGGTATTCTGCTTCCGTCTCACATTTACCGCCACTAATACACATCCTGCAAATTGTTGTACATTCTCCTCTGCTTGTCAATCTTTATCTTTTGTAATGAAATTTAATAATTGAGGAATGGAATAAATGTGTGATATTTGTCTAATTGTTATTGAGGGAACTTTTTATTTGTGAGGCTTATAGGTCAACTTGTTTAATCTTGTCTTATGCAGTGAGACCAGAGCTTCGTGAAAAATTTGAGCCATTTAATAGGAGGACTAGTTCTGGTGGTGGTTTGCATGCTGATCACTCGAGACATAGATCAGAGGATATACCATCATCCAAGGAAGTGGTGAGTGAATTTCCCTGCCTTTCTGTGTTGCCAAATGATTTCATTGTATATTTCCTGAAAACAACTCGTCTGGATGCTGTACCAGCAAACGGACTCAGACAGAGGCCGCGTGTCTCGAACTGCCAGCACTTCAAAGAGAGCTGTAATGTCAAGCAGCCGCCCAAGCTCCTCTGGTGAACCCAGTGAGAATCGTCCCAGCCGGCTGGGATCAGGCAGTGGGCGTGTGTCTACAACCCATAGACAGCCTGGATTTGAGTCTAAGTCATCATCATTCACTCGTGTTGCAGCTTTGAGAGGCGGCCGTGATGAAACTCTCCGGAGCTTTGAGCTGCTGACAATTGGTTCAGGAAAAAGGAAATGAGCACCCCTTAAAGCTAATTTTGTGTTTCCTCCTGTATGAAGAAGACCTAGTTCTTGTTTCGTCTAAATTTACTAATGCAAAATGCTTTACTTATCAAAATATAAAATTCTTTGTCTGTTCCATGTGTTTTCAGCATGGTATCCAGCTTACGAAACTCCTGTTTTTGGATTCTTAAACCCTTTCTCTTAACTGGTTCGTGTGCCGTGTATTCTCTTGTTTCTTATTGCCCTTGTAACTTGTAAGCTATATGAAAATACAACAAATGTCTCACTGGGTTTGTTCATGTTGATGTATATTTTCGATGCTTCAATTTTCGTTCCTCATTTTTTGCTATCTATAGTCACTGGTTGATCAATACTCTTGCTGTTTTATGCTTGTAGTAATATTTGAGATTCGTTCGATTCATTGCAATTTTGCAGTGAAGTTGAAGATGTTGCAGTCCTTTCTCTCAAAATGTCCTTGTGTATGACTTTTCTCTTAGGTCTTGTGGAGGAGGTTTGAAACCTGATCTCGCAGAAATGATATTGTACAATTCTTCTTTTACAGTGGCAAGTAAAATAACCGTTAATGTTGGGGATGAGTTGAATAAAAGGACACCATTTCGTCACCAAACTTTGGACTTAAACAGAATAGTCTTTAGTTATTTCATCAAAAAGAAAAAAATAGTCATTAAAGAAGGAATGGAGTGTTGAAGTCAAGCACATCTTTAGAAAGGCGAATTTTGCAGCAGCCAGTGTAGCGGTTGCTTAACTGGCTTGGCGAGCCACCCACGAGTTTAAAAACATGTTTAGATCATGATATTGTTGATTTTCGTACCAACGGAATGTAGTAGTGTAATTTAATGCATTCGCCTCTTTCATTGTTTCCCAAAAAAAAAGTCATTAATTATGGGATTTTTATTTATTTTTTTGGAAAACGAATTTTGGGGACTAAGGTAGACAAAAGCACACCATTTTAGAAGCAAAATTTGGTTTCGTGCAACTCTCAGAAAGTATCAAGTCATTTTGAGAGTCAAATTCTACAACCCATTTCTAAAGTTGGACTCATGAGATTTGTATTATTGACGGGATGTGAAATTCCATCTGCTATATACATATAATGTCTAATTTCCAACAGAAAATAAACTATAAAATGTACTACTATACTAGTTTTCAAAATTACTGTACTATATTTTATACGGGTGTAGTGTTACATCATTCTTACGTCATATTAAAAAAGAGGACGTGGGACGAAAGTGAAAAATTATTCGAAGTTAATTTCAGTCAAGAAGATATGCTAAAAAAAGTCAAAAATTTAATGCTATCAAAATATTCCATTTATGTTCCAACGTTAGTATTTCAAGGATAAAAATATACCTTAATCGGCCAAAATTATAAGTGACACAAAAAAGATGGATCCAAAAATGCATTCAAAATCACCTTGTTACTTTATTTGTTATCTCTTTTTTGGGTAGAAAATTAAGATAAATCAAATGCAGTAAAATATTCAACCAATTCATTTCCTATTCAATAGTTTTATAACCTTGTTTGTTACTTGAACCTTATCAAGAACATTTGACCATTTTATTTCCTGAATCAGATTCTGGTTCACGTTGTACTTTTAGATGAAGAAATGCACGAAAGATTATAACAACAAATTAAGAAATTCAAAATTATTTTTAAAAAAATTAAAATTAAAGGAAAGGTCACGGTTGGTCGACAAAATGTACCTCTATAAATACAACTCTATTTCGCGTCCATTGATTATTAAAAATATATTAAGAAATTCAAAATTAGTTTAGAAAAAATCAAAATCAAACGGAAGGCCACGGTTGGTCGACAAGGCGTACCTCTATAAATACGACTCTATCTCGTGTTCACTGTCTCGGATCACATAGAATTTAATTATCCGTTACGTCTCTGTGTCTCATGACACCGGTATTTCTATTCCGATTTCTTATAGTTCGAATCAGACTCTTGAGTCTTGATTTGCTACTCTTGTAATTTTTGAATTCAGAGTAAAATTTTATTCGAATTATTTTTTTGCTTTCTATTGTCTAGGTAACAAGATGCCTATAGTGATGGATCCAATGACCCGGTTCTTACTCGTGGTGAATTTAACCTTATTTCCATTTCAAGCTTCATGCCCGTTTTGCAATCGGGTGCTTTATCACGTTTTCTCTTGTGTCACCCATATTCAAAGTCACTTCCCCGAGCATATAGCCCGTTTCATTGACGATACGGGTCGGACCGTCACTCTTTATTTTCAACATTTTAATGATGATTTTCTCGGAAGACCATTATTTCAAATGCCAATTATGCCTTTCATAAGATCAAGAAGAAATTTTATAAGCATCGATAGTTCATATAGAGTCCAAAGCATAACAGTGATTCTCCGACCAAGCATACACTACTTCAGATTATTATTCCAGCATATGAGGAGAAGCCGACAATCAATTCGACCAAATCCAATAATTATTCGACGAAATTTTTACAATTATGCCCGAATTATAATGTCCAATTCAAGTTTTGCAGAAAGGGCTACAGAAATCCACAATGGGAACTCTACAAGGGAAAATCCAAATCAAGTGAACCATCAACGTCATCCTTCTTCCTCCTCCTCCGCGACTGATGCACAAAGTGGAGAAGACAACGATTTGGATTTGGAATTAAGACTGTAATCTCATATTATGGAGGGATTAAGGAAAAAAATGCATTAATATAATATAATATAATATTAGTGTTGTGGTGTTTCTTTTATTTAGTCTATAATCCATGATTTTTTTTTTCTGACATCTGGGATTGTTAATGACTTCATACACATCTAAAATCTTCATTTTGGGGTAAATCGGATCAATTTATTCACCTTCATTCAATGGTCGCATTCCGTAAACGTTTTCTACAACAACGTTGGAATCAGCAGATAAAATGCTAGAATAAAATTGGTCAACTCAGAATCTGAGACTGTTTTTCCATAAAAAGTAAATAAATATTTACCGAAAAAGTTTTTTATTTTTAATTTTTTTAATTAAAAAAAAGTGTTTTGCCGACCTAGAGATTTCTTATTTTCACAATGAATGAATAAACATTTTTTTGTTTTTTGTTTTTTGGGTCCAGCTGGACACCGTCTCCTTTTGAAATCCCATTAATTTGAGCCAAATAAATTTAGTTTTTTTTTTTTTTAACAAATTTCTTTTAAATTGCCCTTGTCGAGATTCTCATAGAAATCCTTAACGTAGACCAATTATCATTCTAACAACCACAATTTCATTGTACTCGCGGCATCAAATATTAAGTCATGTATACAAGCAAACATGACTATTTTGGGATGAAAATTGTACAAGCTATAATACCATGATAATGAACATTGATGTATATTTGTAATGAAGCTCACTCATGTATTGTTTGGGCAACCTCTTGAAACAACATTTCAATTTAAATCATTTTTTTAAAACACAAATCTTAATGTATAATAAATACTATTTATACAAACTTTTACATTTTAAAATTTATTATCATAAATATTATTTTTACACAATTTTTACCAATCACCATCAGACCATCTCTATCACTATGGACCGCCACCCGCCATCACTGGCCGCGCCAGACCGCTGCCAGATTCTGACAAAATTATGGAAAAAAAATTTGGTAGGAGTCCGACCACCCGACCGGTCGCCGGTCGGATTACAACCAAACTGCTTTAAGGATGTGAGATCGACAAAACCTTCATTAATTTCTTCCCCCAATTTACCTCTAATTTTATATTTCTTCCGTATCAAAATGATTATATGACTTACATTTTTACTTTTGATTTAAATTGTGTTAAAATTTAAAATTCAGATTGAACACCAATTTTTGGACATAAGACATATATGATATATTACTATCACACGCCAAAAGCTCGTACTATTCTCACGGAGCTAAGATCTAACAGTTAAAATGAACTAGAGAACAAAGGACTAGGTACAAGAAGGGCTCCATCGGAAGCAGAACCAAAAAGGCAAAATTTCCAATTAGGACATCAAAACATAAGACAAAATGAAAAGTCTAGGGTACTTTGTTATTTTTAAGATGAAAAATGACAGCATTTTATTATTCTCATTGCCAAGCCGAAAACGATGAATACAAACTAAGAAACCTTTTTTCATATATTTATTAAATTAGGCTTTTCCGCTTAGTTATCCTTTTGTTGAGGAAAATTTGTATCAATACTAATTGTTAAGTGAACCCAAAAAATAAAATAAAATTATACATTGGTTGAATAGTCTTTGCTTCGAACAGTTGCCTAATAAACTAACTATTGCTTTCAATGATATTAACAATTGAAAGAAAAACAGCGAGAATATTTATGATTACAAGTTACCACCATACAAAATTAATCCGAAAATTGACATAGAAAAGATTGAAGTATGAGAAGAGAAAGTGATAACTCAGACTAAGATTAAATATAAGGAGGGTATTTTTCATTTACGTTATAAATAATATCACATAAATTTATTATTAATTCTCTTCGCTACCATGAAAATGATGAACAACCAGTAAGTTGAAGAAATTCGACTAATATGAAAACCATGGACTAGGCAACTAACAACTAGCTAGTAAGTTGATGCACTTCAACATAAATTTGTATCTAGCAATAAAAATTCGAACAAAACGAAATGAGTATTTCTAATTACTATAAGGTTCAATAAGAGGAGATAGCTACTACTATTGACCCTAAACACACTACAAAATTAATTTACTTCAAAGTTAAATCACTGGCCAAAAGGGTAATTTACAATTGGTGTGGAATGCGTTTACTATTGAATTAAACTAAGTTATTTCGTTTTTATGTTTTCCCTTCAAGAATGTGCGGTTAGGCTGCAAGAGATTGTAACTTTTGAATGTGATTTCCTCTTTATATTTTCCCTTCAATTAGAATTCTTCCACACACACACACACACACACACACACACACACACACACACACATATATAGAGTATACATGCATTTTTTCTTTTTAGTATGTTTCTTAATCTTCAAGTGACTAAGGGACGAAACAAAGTTGAGTTATAGAGGGATTGACTAAAGATACGATCGACTTAGGACCAACAATTTCATTTTCATATATATATATATATATACTTTATATATATAAAATATCTAAAAATCACCATTAGGATGCGCCAATAAAATATATGGATGAGTGAATTGGAGCAAGTTTTATTTATTTATTTATTTTTGTGTGGAAAACCTCGTGAAAAGACAAGGAATTTATAAATTATTCCTTCCTTTGTTTATTGTGCTAAAGTTGAACGCTTAAATACTTAACTATCCAACGAAAATAAGGCTTGAATCGAACACTTGAGTACTCACTCAATGGGTCGTCTAGTTGATGTACAAGGCTTAATCTGTAAGTCAGTCCTTTGGATAAGTTTGAAACAATATTATTTAACTTTCTTATCATCTTAATAAATTCGAGGTTGCCTATCGGGTTATATTCATGGATTTTCTAGGTTTCCTCCAAATTCAATGTTCACAGCGTGTTGCATATAATTACTACTAAATAAATTTTCTAGGTTGGTCAGTTCACTTGTATTTGTTTATTCGACTAGAATGACGGAAATTTGAAAGACTGGATAAAATTCTACTAAAGAGAGATTAGTAGCTATATATATATAATATATATATAATTGAGAAATATTTAACCCAACATGTATTGATGCATTACAAATTAGAAAGATTCTGACATTTTCGTTTGCATTTAACTGGATGTAAATATAACATATTCGCCACTTTTGGGTGCATAATGATCTTGCACCTGTCATGGGAGAATTAGAATACTGCACCTCCGTGTTGTTAGGTCATAACTAATCAACTTCGATGTCATCAACTCCATCATCAAACTAACCTATTTGGAAAGTGTTTTCCTTTTCAACAAAAAGAATACATGGTTCAAGATTTTGAAATTTGTTCCTCCAATGTAATTTTCAGTCATGCGATGTCTATATAGATCGTACCACAAGCTCCGTACACAAAATCCAATAATATTTCACTCCATTGTATCCACATTATATTATATTGACAGGAAAAATTGAGTTACCAAGACTAAATATTACGATGTATATATAGTAAATATGTGTGTTATCTTTGTAATTGTTGTAATTTACCTTAGTTAAGGTTTTGTATACCGTAATTCTAGGGATTGATTGATACGTAGTTTACTGTATATAACTTACCCTAATATCAAAAACAACGGCAAGAGATTAAGCCGCTTTTCCTTTGATCTCTTCGTTCTTCTCATGGTATCAATTGCAGGATTTTTCTAATCTTCCTGTTGCTTGCTGCTGCTTGTTTCTTTTCCCCGGCGGATCATGACCAACACCGACGTTCCTCAGCCGTCCCGTGACAAGCAACCGGCCACTGACAGTGGTGACTTGGTCGTCCGCCGCCGTACCATCTCTCCATTTGATCTCTCGCCGAATGACTTCTCCGGCACTGTGATCACCACCGTTCAGCTTCGTGGTGAAAGCAACTACGTCGAATGGTCCAAAGCCATCACTACCGCCCTTCGTGCACGAAAGAAATTTGGGTTTGTTGACGGATCACTCACTCAGCCCCCGGATTCATCGCCGGATGCCGAAGACTGGGGGCCGATTAATTCTCTCTTGGTCTCCTGGATTTTAAACACAATTGAACCTGCTCTTCGCTCGACGATTTCTCACACCGAGATTGTTCGTGATTTGTGGCTGGACATCCAGGAACGTCTCTCCATTGTTAACGGCCCCCGGATTCAGCAGCTTAAGTCTGATCTTGCTCACTGCCGGCAGAAAGGGATGACTGTTATGGCTTACTATGGCCGGCTCAAGATGATCTGGGAGGAGTTAGCGTCCTATGGTTCCTTCCCGGCGTGTACCTGTGGCGGCTGCTCTTGTAATCTCTCGGCGGCGGCAGAGAAGAAGGTGGAAGAAGAAAAACTCCATCAGTTTCTTCTCGGCCTCGATGACAGCCTCTATTCCGCCGCCCGGTCTCAGATTCTTGCTCAAGATCCGCTTCCCCGACTGAGCAAAGCCTATGCCACCATCATCCGCGAGGAACGCTTGCACTCCATGACTACCGCCAAGGAGCCTCTGCCGGAAACCATGGCTTTTGCAGTTTCGACGCCGGTTCCGCCGGTTCCTGCTGTTGACGTGGTGGCCCGGGCAGCGGTTGTCGGCTCTAGTTCTCTGAATCGTGGGGCTTCTCCGGCGCCGGCTGCTTCCAGTGGTGCATTATTTTGCACCAATTGCAATCGTCCTAATCACGATGTCAGCACATGTTACCGGTTGATTGGTTTTCCTCCCGGCTGGTCCTCTCGTGGTCGTGGCGGCGGACGCGGCCGTGGGCGAAATAATCCGAGTGCTGGCCGTGGCAACTCTCCACAACTTGGGACCGTTTCCGGAGTTCCAACTCAGCCTTCCGCGGCTGCCCACAATGTGTTATTACCTTCCGGTGGTGATGGCGTCGGTTCTGCTGTGACCGGACTTAATGCCGACCAGTGGAATAAGCTTCTCTCTTTATTGAACTCGGCCAAATCTCCATCGGGTTCATCTTTGTCTGGGTAAGCGTATTTGTGAAAATTGGATGTATGATTCGGGTGCCTCGCGTCACATGACAGGTTCTCTTGATTATTTTGCGACTATTTGTGATATACCTGGCATTTCTGTCCAATTACCGAATGGTCATTATACTTGGGCTAATAAAGCCGGCACTGTGGTTCTTAGTGCTAAAGTCACTTTGCAGAATGTACTGTTTGTTCCGAGTTTGACATGTCATCTTATCTCGGTTTCTCAACTGTTGCGTGATACTGGCTCTATTGCTCACTTTACCTTTCATTTTTGTGTTATACAGGACCTCACTTCGAGGATGCTGATTGGAGCGGGTGAGCAAAGAGAGGAGCTTTACTTTTTCCGGGATGTGGAAAGTCTCGCTGCTGCTACAACACCTAGGGTTTCTTCACTCGAGTTATGGCATCAACGTCTTGGCCATCCCTCCTTTAAGGTTTTGGCTTCACTTCCTAGTGTCGGCTCTCCCTCAGATTTTAGTCATTTTCATAATAAGGCCTGTGATGTGTGTTTTAGGGCCAAACAGTCTCGATCTTCCTTTCCTGTTAGTAGGACTAAGACTGTTGAGATTTTTCAGTTAATTCATTGTGACTTGTGGGGTCCATATCGGGTTCCCTCATTTTCGGGTGCTCGGTATTTTTTGACAATTGTTGATGATTTTTCCCGTGCCACCTGGATTTATTTGTTGCATGATAAAAAGGAAGTTTCTTTAAAGCTTCGTCAGTTTTTTACTATGGTTATGGAAAATTGGTTAAACGCGTTTGTAGTGACAATGGTACCGAATTTATGTGTTTGATTGATTACTTTCTTCATCATGGCATTTTGCATGAGACGTCTTGTGTTGGGACCCCCCAGCAGAATGGCCGTGTAGAACGTAAACACAGACATATTTTGAATGTGGCGCGTGCATTACGGTTTCAGGCTCGATTGCCCATTGAATTTTGGGGCGAATGTGTCTTAGCTGCTGCCTATTTAATTAATCGTACTCCCTCGAGTGTCTTAAATGGAAAAACCCCATGTGATTTTTTGTATGACAAGCCTCCTTCTCTGGCTCATTTACGAGTGTTTGGTTGCCTTTGCTTTGCGCATCAACAGAATCGTAGCGGTGATAAGTTTTCTAGTCGCAGTAGGCGATGTGTGTTTGTGGGATATCCTTATGGCCAAAAGGGTTGGCGTGTCTATGATTTAGAAACTGGTGAATTTTTTGTTTCTCGAGATGTTATTTTCTTTGAATTGGAGTTTCCATCTATGTCGCCTGACTTGCCTGGTTTGTCTTCTCCATTGCTTGCTTCTTCACCTGTATTTTTGGATGATGATTCTCCTGATTCTGTTATTGAGCTTACTTCTGTCCCGGTTTCTCCGTCCGTTCCTCTTGTTTCTCCGGACACTGGCGCATCTGCTTCTTCTGAACCTGCCTCCCAAGACAGGGGGGGTCCTTCCCATACACAATAGGAAGAACTATTGGGCCGTGGGCATCGTCTCAAACAGCGTTCTGTTTGCCTGCGAGATTTTACGGCACACACTGTTATAAGCCCCTCTCCTGCCACTTCCGCTGCTTCAGTTTCCTCAGTTGCGTCCTATCCTATACACAATTATGTCACCTGTGATTCTTTTTCCCCACATCATCGTGCATTTTTGGCTAGCGTCTCTGCAGGAATTGAGCCTCGTACTTTTTCTGAGGCTGTTCGGGACGTTCGATGGCAAGTGGCTATGCGCCAAGAGATACAGGCTTTGGAAAAGAATGACACATGGTCCATTACTTCTCTTCCTTCCGGCAAACGGGCTATCGGTTGCAAGTGGGTGTTCAAAATCAAGTACCACTCTGATGGCTCTGTGGAACGCTATAAAGCTCGCTTGGTGATTTTAGGCAACAATCAGATTGAAGGTCTGGATTATAATGAGACCTTCGCTCCGGTTGCTAAAATGGTGACTGTTCGTACATTGCTCACTGTCGCTGGTTCTAAAGGCTGGGAGCTTCATCAGATGGATGTCCATAACGCCTTTCTTCATGGTGATTTAGAAGAGGAGGTTTACATGAAGCTGCCGTCTGGTTTTCAGGCTCCCGCACCGGGATCTGTTTGTCGTCTTCGTCGCTCTCTTTATGGTCTTCGGCAAGCTCCTCGCTGTTGGTTTGCCAAATTGGCCAGTGCCTTACGCCGGTATGGTTTTTCACAGTCGGCCTCTGACTACTCTCTGTTTGTTTTGTGTCGTGGCACCACTCAGCTGACAGTTTTGGTATATGTTGATGACCTGATTATTTCCGGCAATAATAGCTCTGCCATTCAGTCCTTTAAGGATTATTTAAGCCGATGTTTTCATATGAAGGATTTGGGTGTTCTCAAATACTTCTTGGGTATTGAAGTAGCTCGCAACTCTACTGGCATTTTTCTGTGTCAGCGTAAATACGCCTTAGATATCATTTCTGAGGTTGGATTATTGGGATCTAAACCCGCTGGTTTTCCGATGGAACAGAATCACCAGCTTTCGACGGTTGCTGAGGCTCCTCTTTCCGATCCTGAACGTTATCGGCGTTTGGTGGGTCGCTTGATCTATCTGGCTGTCACTCGTCCGGAATTGTCCTATAGTGTTCATACTCTTGCTCAGTTCATGCAGAAACCTATGCAGGCTCATTGGGACGCTGCTCTTCGCGTTGTGCGGTTTCTGAAGGGTAATCTAGGCCTGGGTATTCTTCTTCGGGCAGATTCGGACCTTACCTTATCTGGCTGGTGCGATTTTGACTGGGCTAGTTGTCCGTTGACCCGCCGTTCTCTTACTGGCTGGTTTGTTCAGCTTGGTCAGTCCCCAATCTCTTGGAAAACGAAGAAACAACAGACGGTTGCTCGCTCGTCTGCTGAGGCAGAGTATCGCTCTATGGCTGCTACTGTTTGTGAGTTGAAGTGGCTGAAGGGTTTATTGCATTTTCTTGGTGTTGCACATTCTCATCCTATTCGGCTATACTGTGATAGTCAGGCTGCTTTACATATTGCCGCGAACCCGGTCTTTCATAAACGCACGAAACATATTGAGGTTGACTGTCATTTTTTACGAGATGAAGTCTTAAAGGGTACCATTCTTCCGAGTTATGTCTCTACTCATGTTCAGTTAGCGGACATTTTCACGAAGGCTCTGGGTAAAACCCAGTTTGAGTATTTTCTTGCCAAGTTGGGCATTCGGAACCTGCATGCTCCAACTTGAGGGGGGGTATTACGAGGTATATATAGTAAATATGTGTGTTATCTTTGTAATTGTTGTAATTTACCTTAGTTAAGGTTTTGTATACCGTAATTCTAGGGATTGATTGATACGTAGTTTACTGTATATAACTTACCCTAATATCAAAAACAACGGCAAGAGATTAAGCCGCTTTTCCTTTGATCTCTTCGTTCTTCTCATGGTATCAATCGCAGGATTTTTCTAATCTTCCTGTTGCTTGCTGCTGCTTGTTTCTTTTCCCCGGCGGATCATGACCAACACCGACGTTCCTCAGCCGTCCCGTGACAAGCAACCGGCCACTGACAGTGGTGACTTGGTCGTCCGCCGCCGTACCATCTCTCCATTTGATCTCTCGCCGAATGACTTCTCCGGCACTGTGATCACCACCGTTCAGCTTCGTGGTAAAAGCAACTACGTCGAATGGTCCAAAGCCATCACTACCGCCCTTCGTGCACGAAAGAAATTTGGGTTTGTTGACGGATCACTCACTCAGCCGCCGGATTCATCGCCGGATGCCGAAGACTGGGGGCCGATTAATTCTCTCTTGGTCTCCTGGATTTTAAACACAATTGAACCTGCTCTTCGCTCGACGATTTCTCACACCGAGATTGTTCGTGATTTGTGGCTGGACATCCAGGAACGTCTCTCCATTGTTAATGGCCCCCGGATTCAGCAGCTTAAGTCTGATCTTGCTCACTGCCGGCAGAAAGGGATGACTGTTATGGCTTACTATGGCCGGCTCAAGATGATCTGGGAGGAGTTAGCATCCTATGATTCCTTCCCGGCGTGTACCTGTGGCGGCTGCTCTTGTAATCTCTCGGCGGCGGCAGAGAAGAAGGTGGAAGAAGAAAAACTCCATCAGTTTCTTCTCGGCCTTGATGACAGCCTCTATTCCGCCGCCCGGTCTCAGATTCTTGCTCAAGATCCGCTTCCCCGACTGAGCAAAGCCTATGCCACCATCATCCGCGAGGAACGCTTGCACTCCATGACTACCGCCAAGGAGCCTCTGCCGGAAACCATGGCTTTTGCAGTTTCGACGCCGGTTCCGCCGGTTCCTGCTGTTGACGTGGTGGCCCGGGCAGCGGTTGTCGGCTCTAGTTCTCTGAATCGTGGGGCTTCTCCGGCGCCGGCTGCTTCCAGTGGTGCATTATTTTGCACCAATTGCAATCGTCCTAATCACGATGTCAGCACATGTTACCGGTTGATTGGTTTTCCTCCCGGCTGGTCCTCTCGTGGTCGTGGCGGCGGACGCGGCCGTGGGCGAAATAATCCGAGTGCTGGCCGTGGCAACTCTCCACAACTTGGGACCGTTTCCGGAGTTCCAACTCAGCCTTCCGCGGCTGCCCACAATGTGTTATTACCTTCCGGTGGTGATGGCGTCGGTTCTGCTGTGACCGGACTTAATGCCGACCAGTGGAATAAGCTTCTCTCTTTATTGAACTCGGCCAAATCTCCATCGGGTTCATCTTTGTCTGGTAAGCGTATTTGTGAAAATTGGATGTATGATTCGGGTGCCTCGCGTCACATGACAGGTTCTCTTGATTATTTTGCGACTATTTGTGATATACCTGGCATTTCTGTCCAATTACCGAATGGTCATTATACTTGGGCTAATAAAGCCGGCACTGTGGTTCTTAGTGCTAAAGTCACTTTGCAGAATGTACTGTTTGTTCCGAGTTTGACATGTCATCTTATCTCGGTTTCTCAACTGTTGCGTGATACTGGCTCTATTGCTCACTTTACCTTTCATTTTTGTGTTATACAGGACCTCACTTCGAGGATGCTGATTGGAGCGGGTGAGCAAAGAGAGGAGCTTTACTTTTTTCCGGGATGTGGAAAGTCTCGCTGCTGCTACAACACCTAGGGTTTCTTCACTCGAGTTATGGCATCAACGTCTTGGCCATCCCTCCTTTAAGGTTTTGGCTTCACTTCCTAGTGTCGGCTCTCCCTCAGATTTTAGTCATTTTCATAATAAGGCCTGTGATGTGTGTTTTAGGGCCAAACAGTCTCGATCTTCCTTTCCTGTTAGTAGGACTAAGACTGTTGAGATTTTTCAGTTAATTCATTGTGACTTGTGGGGTCCATATCGGGTTCCCTCATTTTCGGGTGCTCGGTATTTTTTGACAATTGTTGATGATTTTTCCCGTGCCACCTGGATTTATTTGTTGCATGATAAAAAGGAAGTTTCTTTAAAGCTTCGTCGGTTTTTTACTATGGTTATGGAAAATTGGTTAAACGCGTTTGTAGTGACAATGGTACCGAATTTATGTGTTTGATTGATTACTTTCTTCATCATGGCATTTTGCATGAGACGTCTTGTGTTGGGACCCCCCAGCAGAATGGCCGTGTAGAACGTAAACACAGACATATTTTGAATGTGGCGCGTGCATTACGGTTTCAGGCTCGATTGCCCATTGAATTTTGGGGCGAATGTGTCTTAGCTGCTGCCTATTTAATTAATCGTACTCCCTCGAGTGTCTTAAATGGAAAAACCCCATGTGATTTTTTGTATGACAAGCCTCCTTCTCTGGCTCATTTACGAGTGTTTGGTTGCCTTTGCTTTGCGCATCAACAGAATCGTAGCGGTGATAAGTTTTCTAGTCGCAGTAGGCGATGTGTGTTTGTGGGATATCCTTATGGCCAAAAGGGTTGGCGTGTCTATGATTTAGAAACTGGTGAATTTTTTGTTTCTCGAGATGTTATTTTCTTTGAATTGGAGTTTCCATCTATGTCGCCTGACTTGCCTGGTTTGTCTTCTCCATTGCTTGCTTCTTCACCTGTATTTTTGGATGATGATTCTCCTGATTCTGTTATTGAGCTTACTTCTGTCCCGGTTTCTCCGTCCGTTCCTCTTGTTTCTCCGGACACTGGCGCATCTGCTTCTTCTGAACCTGCCTCCCAAGACAGGGGGGGTCCTTCCCATACACAATAGGAAGAACTATTGGGCCGTGGGCATCGTCTCAAACAGCGTTCTGTTTGCCTGCGAGATTTTACGGCACACACTGTTATAAGCCCCTCTCCTGCCACTTCCGCTGCTTGAGTTTCCTCAGTTGCGTCCTATCCTATACACAATTATGTCACCTGTGATTCTTTTTCCCCACATCATCGTGCATTTTTGGCTAGCGTCTCTGCAGGAATTGAGCCTCGTACTTTTTCTGAGGCTGTTCGGGACGTTCGATGGCAAGTGGCTATGCGCCAAGAGATACAGGCTTTGGAAAAGAATGACACATGGTCCATTACTTCTCTTCCTTCCGGCAAACGGGCTATCGGTTGCAAGTGGGTGTTCAAAATCAAGTACCACTCTGATGGCTCTGTGGAACGCTATAAAGCTCGCTTGGTGATTTTAGGCAACAATCAGATTGAAGGTCTGGATTATAATGAGACCTTCGCTCCGGTTGCTAAAATGGTGACTGTTCGTACATTGCTCACTGTCGCTGGTTCTAAAGGCTGGGAGCTTCATCAGATGGATGTCCATAACGCCTTTCTTCATGGTGATTTAGAAGAGGAGGTTTACATGAAGCTGCCGTCTGGTTTTCAGGCTCCCGCACCGGGATCTGTTTGTCGTCTTCGTCGCTCTCTTTATGGTCTTCGGCAAGCTCCTCGCTGTTGGTTTGCCAAATTGGCCAGTGCCTTACGCCGGTATGGTTTTTCACAGTCGGCCTCTGACTACTCTCTGTTTGTTTTGTGTCGTGGCACCACTCAGCTGACAGTTTTGGTATATGTTGATGACCTGATTATTTCCGGCAATAATAGCTCTGCCATTCAGTCCTTTAAGGATTATTTAAGCCGATGTTTTCATATGAAGGATTTGGGTGTTCTCAAATACTTCTTGGGTATTGAAGTAGCTCGCAACTCTACTGGCATTTTTCTGTGTCAGCGTAAATACGCCTTAGATATCATTTCTGAGGTTGGATTATTGGGATCTAAACCCGCTGGTTTTCCGATGGAACAGAATCACCAGCTTTCGACGGTTGCTGAGGCTCCTCTTTCCGATCCTGAACGTTATCGGCGTTTGGTGGGTCGCTTGATCTATCTGGCTGTCACTCGTCCGGAATTGTCCTATAGTGTTCATACTCTTGCTCAGTTCATGCAGAAACCTATGCAGGCTCATTGGGACGCTGCTCTTCGCGTTGTGCGGTTTCTGAAGGGTAATCTAGGCCTGGGTATTCTTCTTCGGGCAGATTCGGACCTTACCTTATCTGGCTGGTGCGATTTTGACTGGGCTAGTTGTCCGTTGACCCGCCGTTCTCTTACTGGCTGGTTTGTTCAGCTTGGTCAGTCCCCAATCTCTTGGAAAACGAAGAAACAACAGACGGTTGCTCGCTCGTCTGCTGAGGCAGAGTATCGCTCTATGGCTGCTACTGTTTGTGAGTTGAAGTGGCTGAAGGGTTTATTGCATTTTCTTGGTGTTGCACATTCTCATCCTATTCGGCTATACTGTGATAGTCAAGCTGCTTTACATATTGCCGCGAACCCGGTCTTTCATGAACGCACGAAACATATTGAGGTTGACTGTCATTTTTTACGAGATGAAGTCTTAAAGGGTACCATTCTTCCGAGTTATGTCTCTACTCATGTTCAGTTAGCGGACATTTTCACGAAGGCTCTGGGTAAAACCCAGTTTGAGTATTTTCTTGCCAAGTTGGGCATTCGGAACCTGCATGCTCCAACTTGAGGGGGGGTATTACGAGGTATATATAGTAAATATGTGTGTTATCTTTGTAATTGTTGTAATTTACCTTAGTTAGGGTTTTGTATACCGTAATTCTAGGGATTGATTGATACGTAGTTTACTGTATATAACTTACCCTAATATCAAAAACAACGGCAAGAGATTAAGCCGCTTTTCCTTTGATCTCTTCGTTCTTCTCATGGTATCAATTGCAGGATTTTTCTAATCTTCCTGTTGCTTGCTGCTGCTTGTTTCTTTTCCCCGGCGGATCATGACCAACACCGACGTTCCTCAGCCGTCCCGTGACAAGCAACCGGCCACTGACAGTGGTGACTTGGTCGTCCGCCGCCGTACCATCTCTCCATTTGATCTCTCGCCGAATGACTTCTCCGGCACTGTGATCACCACCGTTCAGCTTCGTGGTGAAAGCAACTACGTCGAATGGTCCAAAGCCATCACTACCGCCCTTCGTGCACGAAAGAAATTTGGGTTTGTTGACGGATCACTCACTCAGCCCCCGGATTCATCGCCGGATGCCGAAGACTGGGGGCCGATTAATTCTCTCTTGGTCTCCTGGATTTTAAACACAATTGAACCTGCTCTTCGCTCGACGATTTCTCACACCGAGATTGTTCGTGATTTGTGGCTGGACATCCAGGAACGTCTCTCCATTGTTAACGGCCCCCGGATTCAGCAGCTTAAGTCTGATCTTGCTCACTGCCGGCAGAAAGGGATGACTGTTATGGCTTACTATGGCCGGCTCAAGATGATCTGGGAGGAGTTAGCATCCTATGATTCCTTCCCGGCGTGTACCTGTGGCGGCTGCTCTTGTAATCTCTCGGCGGCGGCAGAGAAGAAGGTGGAAGAAGAAAAACTCCATCAGTTTCTTCTCGGCCTCGATGACAGCCTCTATTCCGCCGCCCGGTCTCAGATTCTTGCTCAAGATCCGCTTCCCCGACTGAGCAAAGCCTATGCCACCATCATCCGCGAGGAACGCTTGCACTCCATGACTACCGCCAAGGAGCCTCTGCCGGAAACCATGGCTTTTGCAGTTTCGACGCCGGTTCCGCCGGTTCCTGCTGTTGACGTGGTGGCCCGGGCAGCGGTTGTCGGCTCTAGTTCTCTGAATCGTGGGGCTTCTCCGGCGCCGGCTGCTTCCAGTGGTGCATTATTTTGCACCAATTGCAATCGTCCTAATCACGATGTCAGCACATGTTACCGGTTGATTGGTTTTCCTCCCGGCTGGTCCTCTCGTGGTCGTGGCGGCGGACGCGGCCGTGGGCGAAATAATCCGAGTGCTGGCCGTGGCAACTCTCCACAACTTGGGACCGTTTCCGGAGTTCCAACTCAGCCTTCCGCGGCTGCCCACAATGTGTTATTACCTTCCGGTGGTGATGGCGTCGGTTCTGCTGTGACCGGACTTAATGCCGACCAGTGGAATAAGCTTCTCTCTTTATTGAACTCGGCCAAATCTCCATCGGGTTCATCTTTGTCTGGTAAGCGTATTTGTGAAAATTGGATGTATGATTCGGGTGCCTCGCGTCACATGACAGGTTCTCTTGATTATTTTGCGACTATTTGTGATATACCTGGCATTTCTGTCCAATTACCGAATGGTCATTATACTTGGGCTAATAAAGCCGGCACTGTGGTTCTTAGTGCTAAAGTCACTTTGCAGAATGTACTGTTTGTTCCGAGTTTGACATGTCATCTTATCTCGGTTTCTCAACTGTTGCGTGATACTGGCTCTATTGCTCACTTTACCTTTCATTTTTGTGTTATACAGGACCTCACTTCGAGGATGCTGATTGGAGCGGGTGAGCAAAGAGAGGAGCTTTACTTTTTCCGGGATGTGGAAAGTCTCGCTGCTGCTACAACACCTAGGGTTTCTTCACTCGAGTTATGGCATCAACGTCTTGGCCATCCCTCCTTTAAGGTTTTGGCTTCACTTCCTAGTGTCGGCTCTCCCTCAGATTTTAGTCATTTTCATAATAAGGCCTGTGATGTGTGTTTTAGGGCCAAACAGTCTCGATCTTCCTTTCCTGTTAGTAGGACTAAGACTGTTGAGATTTTTCAGTTAATTCATTGTGACTTGTGGGGTCCATATCGGGTTCCCTCATTTTCGGGTGCTCGGTATTTTTTGACAATTGTTGATGATTTTTCCCGTGCCACCTGGATTTATTTGTTGCATGATAAAAAGGAAGTTTCTTTAAAGCTTCGTCAGTTTTTTACTATGGTTATGGAAAATTGGTTAAACGCGTTTGTAGTGACAATGGTACCGAATTTATGTGTTTGATTGATTACTTTCTTCATCATGGCATTTTGCATGAGACGTCTTGTGTTGGGACCCCCCAGCAGAATGGCCGTGTAGAACGTAAACACAGACATATTTTGAATGTGGCGCGTGCATTACGGTTTCAGGCTCGATTGCCCATTGAATTTTGGGGCGAATGTGTCTTAGCTGCTGCCTATTTAATTAATCGTACTCCCTCGAGTGTCTTAAATGGAAAAACCCCATGTGATTTTTTGTATGACAAGCCTCCTTCTCTGGCTCATTTACGAGTGTTTGGTTGCCTTTGCTTTGCGCATCAACAGAATCGTAGCGGTGATAAGTTTTCTAGTCGCAGTAGGCGATGTGTGTTTGTGGGATATCCTTATGGCCAAAAGGGTTGGCGTGTCTATGATTTAGAAACTGGTGAATTTTTTGTTTCTCGAGATGTTATTTTCTTTGAATTGGAGTTTCCATCTATGTCGCCTGACTTGCCTGGTTTGTCTTCTCCATTGCTTGCTTCTTCACCTGTATTTTTGGATGATGATTCTCCTGATTCTGTTATTGAGCTTACTTCTGTCCCGGTTTCTCCGTCCGTTCCTCTTGTTTCTCCGGACACTGGCGCATCTGCTTCTTCTGAACCTGCCTCCCAAGACAGGGGGGGTCCTTCCCATACACAATAGGAAGAACTATTGGGCCGTGGGCATCGTCTCAAACAGCGTTCTGTTTGCCTGCGAGATTTTACGGCACACACTGTTATAAGCCCCTCTCCTGCCACTTCCGCTGCTTCAGTTTCCTCAGTTGCGTCCTATCCTATACACAATTATGTCACCTGTGATTCTTTTTCCCCACATCATCGTGCATTTTTGGCTAGCGTCTCTGCAGGAATTGAGCCTCGTACTTTTTCTGAGGCTGTTCGGGACGTTCGATGGCAAGTGGCTATGCGCCAAGAGATACAGGCTTTGGAAAAGAATGACACATGGTCCATTACTTCTCTTCCTTCCGGCAAACGGGCTATCGGTTGCAAGTGGGTGTTCAAAATCAAGTACCACTCTGATGGCTCTGTGGAACGCTATAAAGCTCGCTTGGTGATTTTAGGCAACAATCAGATTGAAGGTCTGGATTATAATGAGACCTTCGCTCCGGTTGCTAAAATGGTGACTGTTCGTACATTGCTCACTGTCGCTGGTTCTAAAGGCTGGGAGCTTCATCAGATGGATGTCCATAACGCCTTTCTTCATGGTGATTTAGAAGAGGAGGTTTACATGAAGCTGCCGTCTGGTTTTCAGGCTCCCGCACCGGGATCTGTTTGTCGTCTTCGTCGCTCTCTTTATGGTCTTCGGCAAGCTCCTCGCTGTTGGTTTGCCAAATTGGCCAGTGCCTTACGCCGGTATGGTTTTTCACAGTCGGCCTCTGACTACTCTCTGTTTGTTTTGTGTCGTGGCACCACTCAGCTGACAGTTTTGGTATATGTTGATGACCTGATTATTTCCGGCAATAATAGCTCTGCCATTCAGTCCTTTAAGGATTATTTAAGCCGATGTTTTCATATGAAGGATTTGGGTGTTCTCAAATACTTCTTGGGTATTGAAGTAGCTCGCAACTCTACTGGCATTTTTCTGTGTCAGCGTAAATACGCCTTAGATATCATTTCTGAGGTTGGATTATTGGGATCTAAACCCGCTGGTTTTCCGATGGAACAGAATCACCAGCTTTCGACGGTTGCTGAGGCTCCTCTTTCCGATCCTGAACGTTATCGGCGTTTGGTGGGTCGCTTGATCTATCTGGCTGTCACTCGTCCGGAATTGTCCTATAGTGTTCATACTCTTGCTCAGTTCATGCAGAAACCTATGCAGGCTCATTGGGACGCTGCTCTTCGCGTTGTGCGGTTTCTGAAGGGTAATCTAGGCCTGGGTATTCTTCTTCGGGCAGATTCGGACCTTACCTTATCTGGCTGGTGCGATTTTGACTGGGCTAGTTGTCCGTTGACCCGCCGTTCTCTTACTGGCTGGTTTGTTCAGCTTGGTCAGTCCCCAATCTCTTGGAAAACGAAGAAACAACAGACGGTTGCTCGCTCGTCTGCTGAGGCAGAGTATCGCTCTATGGCTGCTACTGTTTGTGAGTTGAAGTGGCTGAAGGGTTTATTGCATTTTCTTGGTGTTGCACATTCTCATCCTATTCGGCTATACTGTGATAGTCAAGCTGCTTTACATATTGCCGCGAACCCGGTCTTTCATGAACGCACGAAACATATTGAGGTTGACTGTCATTTTTTACGAGATGAAGTCTTAAAGGGTACCATTCTTCCGAGTTATGTCTCTACTCATGTTCAGTTAGCGGACATTTTCACGAAGGCTCTGGGTAAAACCCAGTTTGAGTATTTTCTTGCCAAGTTGGGCATTCGGAACCTGCATGCTCCAACTTGAGGGGGGGTATTACGAGGTATATATAGTAAATATGTGTGTTATCTTTGTAATTGTTGTAATTTACCTTAGTTAGGGTTTTGTATACCGTAATTCTAGGGATTGATTGATACGTAGTTTACTGTATATAACTTACCCTAATATCAAAAACAACGACAAGAGATTAAACCGCTTTTCCTTTGATCTCTTCGTTCTTCTCACTAAACAACAAATCCAAGAACTTTTTTTGGAAACAATTCCTTAACAAGAAAATAAAAATATAAAAAAAAAACAAAAAAGAAACAATTTTTTTTGAATATTGAAGTGACGTAAATATATAGACGACATTTTGATCCACCTGGTGTTCTGGAGACGTCCTAATCCATCTAGTAATTAATCTTAAAGTCTAGTATCATCAAACTAAATATATACGTTATTAGAAAAAGAAACGAAGAGAAATGGTTGATGATTGCGAAATTCGTACTCCCCAGTACTAGTATTTATTAATTAATGAATAAGGGACTCTCCCCATTCACACCATACCAGCAGAATAACTCTATAAATTGAGCTCAGATTTCCTTACAAAAACTGCACAAAATCATTCTGCTTCCTTTATTATTGAATTTCTTTTTGTAAGCAAACGAAAGGGAAAAAAAAAACAAATGGTGAAATCATCCTCCTCCTCTGGCTCAGACTTGGCCCTGGCTTTGGTCGCAATAATTTGTAAGTGTTAAATTTTTTTTTTCTCCATTCTTCTTTATTACTTCGTCCGTTCCCAAAGAAAAAAAAAATGCATATTAAGTTTTAACATTTATACTATTTTTATTACAAATATAAAAAGACTCAATGTGTACTATTCTTTTCTGATGATCATATGAGCGCTTGCAGTTGTTTTATTGCCTGCATCGACAATGGGGTCTGGGTGCTACTTGAACGCCGGTGACCGGAGTTCCAAGTGCCTTGAACAGGCGGATTGTTGTAAGACCACTACTAGCCCAGACACAGTTTGTGACTTTGATGGGTATTGTAGTGTTCCGAGGGGTGGACATTGTGATTCTCAATCCCAATGTGGTCGTGTTGGGATGCATGCGAGCTATAGGTACGCGCAGTTAAACTGTAACATGACGACTCAAAAGTGTTGTGCACCTCAGTACGGGTTTTGCCTTAAACAAACCGCTTGTTGTGATGGTATGACTTGTTACGCGCGAGATAATGGAGCTTCCGCCCTTAACGACGGCCCCGTCAACTTCCAATTTACATATTGTGTTCGCATGTAATATTTCCAATATCTATACATCGATCATCAGTATGTATTGTGTGCGTGCGTGCGTGTTTTTTTTTTTTTTTGGTTGGTTCTTTTGTTTTTTGTTTTTTCTTGTTAATGTTTTGTTGTTTTGAATAAATGAATTAATATTTTGTGGTTGTTGTTGTCTATTTGAGACTTTAAATGCCGACCGATCATGCATTTGCGTTTTACCGATCGAAAGTTGTAAATAAAACTCTTTTATTCAACACCATCCGTAAATAATTGCTCAGTAAGACTTATAAGCAAAGTGATAACTTAAAAAAAAATTAAAATTACTGAAAAACAACTTAAATAAGAGAAGGTGCAATATTTTATGACTCAACATGCAACTGTGTATAAATATAGGTGCAATTTCTAATGAGCAAATATACAATCACAAGTAATTTTTTAATTTTTAATTTTTTAATTTTTTTCAATGTAACTTAAGAATTATGTAATGCAATTGTTTGAAAGTGAACGTGCAATGTGTGTTTTTTTAGTGTGTATAGCATCCTCAAAAATTCAATGCTTGGATAATTATTATTAGTTTACTATAAAAATAAATTGAGATATAAAAGATGCTGCAATTATAATTTTCAATTTAGGTGCAATGTATTATAAAATAATGTGCAATCACATGTAAGTATTTGTGCAATATATAATGAGAAAGAAAACTTAATTATTAATTAATGGTGAATTTGTCTAAATGTTGAAACTTTCCTAAGGGTCTGTTTGATAAAAATTAGTGCTTAATTCTGAATGACTAATATTAAATTAAAAATTCTGAAATCAGCTACAGAATAAGCAATAAGCTAACTTTTATTACTTATATTTTGTATTGCACTTTTAACATCACTTAATTCATTAAGAGGTTCATTTTTTATTATCAAACAAACTAAAACAAAAAAGTGCTTAATCAAATAATTTTAAGCATGAACTGGCATTATCAAACATGCCCTAAGTTGTTCATTATTTAAAATTTTTGTGAGTTATTTAAAGTTGGTAGTTAAACACGCGCCTATGTCGGCGATTTCACAGTCTTGTGTGTGCGATTTTTCTTTCTTCTCTTTCGAGGTATAACCCTAGAATACGTCAGCCTTGGTAGGCAAGAAAAAGAAATGGAAATCTGTGAATCAAAATACAAGGAAAAATTTAGCCTGTGGATGTGCAGAGCAAAGAGAGTATTGAGGGTTTCAGGGAGAAAGGTGGACGGTGAGTATCGGGAAAGCAAATTCGAGAGCAGCAGGAGAAGAAATTGGATCTTTTGGTGGTGGCGATTGATGGTTCGGCATCAGCGGGAATCGATTTAAATAGGTCTCTGGGGTTAAATTTCACTACGCCAAAATATGGAAAACCTGAGATGAATGCAAGTAAGCTTTCCAAGGGGTGTTATAGTGGTGAATTGTTGCATGAACTCCAGAAAAAAGGGCATGAGAATAACATACGACGACAGCTTAACTGGTCTGATAATGTGGAGAAGGCAGGAGGAACGAAGGAATGGAGTAAGTTTGATTTGGGCAATCTGAAAGGGTCATCTGGGAAGCTCTAACGTAAGACACCATGCCAAAGAGAAGGGCAGTGTGTGGCTAAAGTCCTACTTGAGGATGTGCAAGCAGAAGAGAAATATTGGGAGACTGATGTTGTATGTTTTGTGCTTGGAGCGACTCCTCCTCCAAGATGGGTTATGGAGGAGTATTTTAGCCCAGACGATTGGGAATTGACCTGGTAATTCATCTACCTAGTGGTATGTTCATTATTAAATTTAAATCAATATGTGCTAGAGAAGAAGTTTTAACTGTGAACATTCGCCATTTTGATACTAAACAACTAATTGTCAAATCCTGGTCAGTTAAACTTGGTCTGAATTATAAAGAAGTAGAGAAGGTATGAGTTTGGATACAATTTACATGGGCTAGAGCTTAAATTCTGGAATCTCAACACCCTGGGTAGATTGGCTAGTACCACAGGGAATCCTATTATAGCTGATGAATATAAAGTTAAAAAAAGCAAGGTACAATATGCGAGGTTATTAGTTGAGATGGAAATTAAGGATAGTGTGCCTGATATAATTGTGTTTGAGGATGAATTAGGGAATATTAAGGTACAGAAAGTGGTTTATGAATGGATACCAACTTTGTGTAAATACTGTAAGGGGTATGGCCATAAAACAGAGAGTTGGAGACTGAATAATCATAAAACTGAGATTAAGACAACAAAAACTCAATCAGCATGGAGGGTAATTAGTAAAGGTAAAGAGGTTGTAAAAGCAACTGAGGCACCCCAGGTGGTTAGGGATACTAAGGAAGTAACTACTGGTAACTCTAATGGGGACACCAATAACGAATCGAGTACTAGTAATCACCAATGGATATTTCAGGAGGGTAGAAATGTGGAGAAAGGAATTGAGCAAGGTTACGGGAACTCTTAATATCAAAGATACTCATGAGGTAGTTGCTAGACAAGCTCAATCTGAACTGTCTAAAAAAACTACTGAGAAAGTTGAAGTTGAGGCTGTTTCACATAACCAAGGGAGGTATGATAAGAGGTTGGCTGGAGATCCAGGACCTAGCATTAATGTGTAATGCATTAGTCTGGAATATAATGGGTTTAAACTCTTCCCTGAAACAAAGAGAGTTGACTAGGATGGTACAACATGGAAAATATAATGTAATAGGTCTGGTGGAAACTAAAATGGTAAAGGCCTAGGGGAAAGAGTATTTAGCAAATACTTGGCAAGGGAAGAGATGGCTTACAAACTATAATGGTAGGGGTCAAATTATGATTATTTGGGATGGTTCTGTGGACCTGATAAAAGTTAGAGAAAGTGATCAGTTTCTACACTGTGAGTGCATGATTAAGAAGAATAGGAGGAACTTCCATTTTACATGTGTTTATGCTGCAAATGAGAGTTCAGAAAGATCAAAACTTTGGAGCATCTGACAGACATAGCTCAATCAATACCTGGTCCTTGGGTGTTGATGGGGGACTTCAACAATATCTTAAAACCGGAAGAGAAGTTAGGGGGCAGGCCAGTGGAGCTAAAGGAGTATGAGGAATTTCAGAACTGCTTAGAAGTGCGTGAAGTTAGTGATTTGAGGCTGAATGGTAAATTGTATACGTGGTGTAATCAAAGGATATGAAGTGAAAGAATTTACTATAAATTAGATTGAATATTAGTTAACGGGAACTGGGTTGATCAGTTTCTAGATTCCTATGCTACTGTGCTGATGGAAAACTTATCTGACCATATGCCTTTAGTACTGCAATTGGAGAGGGAGATACAAAGAAAACCTAGTCCTTTTCGCTACTTCAAAATGTGGAGTCAGGCACCACAGTTTCAGAATATAATAAAGGAGGTGTGGGCAAGGGAGGTGAAAGGCACAGTCATGTTTCAGGTTTGCAGTAAGTTGCGTATGCTCAAAGATCCTTTAAGAAGGTTAAGTAGGAAGCACTTTGGGGATATAATTGGGAAACAAACATTGAGCAGTTAAAGTTGAAGGAGCTGCAGGAAAAGCTAAGTATGGATCCTGGCAACGTGATATTACAGACTGAGAAAGGTTGGCATGTGCAGAGTATCTGGAGGCCAGTAAAGTGGCAAATAGTGTAAAACAGAAGGCAAAGGCAGATTGGATTGTGGAAGGCGATGAGAACACGAAATTTTTCCATTCTACACTAAAAGTCAGAACAATGAAGAATCGCATTTGGTCTGTAACGGATGAAAATGGAACTATAATCAGGAGCTGGGAAGGTATAGAGAACCATTTTGTGAAATTCTATCAGGCGTTACTGGGAGAAGCAGTTGTAAGGAAGAAATCTGATTCTGAAGTCTTCGCAGCAGGTCCTACTTTGAATAGTGATCAACAAGTGAAACTGATATTGCCTGTTAGCAGAGAAGAAGTCAAGAGGGCTATCTGGGAGATGAACTCTAACAAAATGAACTCTAAAGTCGCAATTTACCGAGGCCCTTTATGCTTTTTCAAATCTCTTATATCCTGAGATGAAATAATTGAGTAACAAATCCAAGGACCTAAAATGATAGCTTGAAAACTTTTATAAACATGTTATGCTTTCTTGGCAAAAAAGAAAATGTACAAAAATAAACCCATCACTTGGTTATGAGTAAAACGACATGTCATCATCTTTGAGCACAATTATTCAAAATTATTACAATTATTTTTTCATGGAAAGAGCATGCTTGTACGTACCTAGGGGCACGTCTCGAAATTTAGCAATTAATTATAAAGAAACTTATTTAACAATGTGATTAAGCCTTATTCAAAGGAAATGAATGGACGTTTCACATCATTGTTGCATCTTCTCTTCGTTCATTGTCGTAGTATCATCGTCGCAGGCAAGATCAATTGCATTTGGTGCACTGGTGTTGTTATCATTTGGGATTGGGCTATCAAATATGTTTTTCAATTTGGTATTAAAACTAACACAAAAATTAAAATTTAATGTAAACTATTTTTTTGAGATATACTCATTATTATTGTTTCCTAATATTTAAAACCACTTTGAGATGAATTAAAACCATTTCCTCAACCTCGCCGCTGGACCAGCTATTACCGGTGAGCCCATGGTGGCGGGGCAATAGTTTTCTAGTTTGGAATACTTATATTTAATAATGTTCATGTCCCACGAAAACTAGTACACGTTAAATTTTGAGATTTGTATTAAAAATCGTATAAATTCAAAAATTTAATGTAAACTATTTTGTTAGGACAGGGTATAATATTTTAAGTTTTTATTCTATTTTTGCTAGGTCATAATATTTTTGTTATCTAATATAATATATATCTATATATATTTTTTCGTTAAGCTAATATAATATTAAGCTTTTACCGGTTTGAATCCAAATTCCAAAACAATAACGAATATAAAATTATTTTCTATTCAATTAACTTCGATACAGAAAATAACAAGAGTACTAGAGCTAGGCACTTCTAGATCAGTTTCACGTTGTCTGGTTAAGATGGTTCATTATGGCATATCTCCGGAAAAAGGGACAAAAGTTGGTGAGTTAAGAACCACCCAAAGCAAATTAATCATTGCATTCCTCATCAAGTGCTAGTTAATTAATTTACAAATTAATATACGTATCTGGGAATCTCTTTCCGCAATTAAATAACCAAATAGATAGATAAATAGATAGATAAATAAATGATGAATTCTTTAACAATGATATTTGAGTTGGCTCACAAAAAAAAAAAAACAAAAAACAGAAAACAAAAGAATTAGACAAATGCTCTTCGTCTTAAGGACAGTCTTATATTTATTATACAGTTTTAATTCTATAAAGATGATTGATTTTTGTTTTGAGAGGGATCTAGAGAGATAGCGCAATTCTTCTTGGAGGGTTGTTTGTCTAGGTGACTGATCTTGTCATAATTGTAACTACATGCTTTGACCGGGTAGATGTTCGGGCGGCCCCTCTAAATTATTATTTTATTAAAATATAATTGAATTACTATTTTTTGTGATAAGACGTATCTTTTTGAGTTGAACTTTATTCGATTTTATGATTTGGAAGACAATGTTGGAATAATCTGCTCTTTGAAAAATATTTTGATCTGCAAATTAAATACAATCACGTTGCTATGCTTGATAGTTTGGTTTTCTGAAATTTGTTTCCTTATTGAACTCCTTGATTTGTGGTATAGTTGTTTGTGTTAATTATTTCAATTTTGAAATTCTTGATTTGTGGTGTACTGGTTTGTGATAATTGTGCTATTTTGTAGGATGAATCTACGATGGAATTTTTTGAAACAGATCGTGAAGAAGTGGAGAAGGGAATATCCATAATTAAGGAAAAAATATTGCTAAAGAAGTGGAGAAGAGAAATTCTATTGACTATACAATTGGACATTTGAATTTGAATTAATATATCCATTCGTTTGAAATGTAATTAATCCTTATTTGTAGAATTTTTTTCATTGGGCACGGGCCATATCTAAACATATTTTTTTTTCTTTTTAAAAAAATTATATAGCTTCTAATTAAAAGAGTTACACGTGGCAAAAAAACTTCTGAAATCTAAAATATGATGCATTGGAGCCAAAACAGATTCATACGTAGTCACCACATTACGTTCATGTCTCCTGATTTAATATGGTAAAAGGGATTATATTTCTTCTAGCTAGACTTCTCCGTCTGGCATAATACCTCGAAAAGTAAAAATAATTATAACCCCGTCCCTCTTTATTTTTCGGGTATTTAATGAATTACAAAAAGAGTTCGAAAAGAAAAAATTAATAACTCGTTAAAGCTAACTAGTCTTATTCCATTTGTGTCCTACATTCATAGAACATTAATGATTAATTAACCCCCAATCTTATCGAAGATACTAATTATTTTCTTAAGAATAAACAAAGATTACAGAATTATTTCCGTAATCTTGTGCCTGGCCATTGTTAAGCATCCAATGTCCCTCAATGGATTATTAAAATGATTACTTGATGGGAAGGTTTTTGTCTCCTTAAAGTAGGTAGTACGTATTTATTCCCCATCCAATGCCCATAATAATTGTTTTCTCCATAGTTTATGTGATTTTAATCTCGAACGGAAGGTTCGTGTCTGAACATGCGATCTACCCCCATTACTAATGTCTTTATAGTTTATTCTTTTTAAAAAATTATCGTAATATCTAAATTGAAAGTTGGTGGCTAATTTAACTTGAGATGTACGAACATGATGTTTGTAAAAAAATGCACTTGGCCTAACCTAAAGATTTTGTTCGAAAACAGTGGACTAATTCCACTAAAACGTAGTAGGAAAAGTAAAATTACATTCAATATATACAAACACATTTTACAATAAATCTCTACATTATACTATCATTATCGTAATATTCTAAACGAGATGCAGAATTTGATAAAGAACATCAATAATATTCGTGAGAGTTATGATAATGGAGCAAGATCATTAAAATTACAATCTCATTATATTAAACATCGCTAGCAAATATATGTCGGAACATCTATCGAAATAACTTTTCTAAGACATTCTATCATTAAGTTAATGTAAATTTTATCATTAACTTTTTTTCTAAGACATTCGAAAAATTGGAACTGATGACTTTTGCTAGGATGAGAGTGACAGTCACCAAAATTCATCGAATAATAAATAATACTATTTGTCATGTTATATATACCAAAAAAATATTTTTCCCTATTATAATAAAATTCAATGAAATTATTTTCGACCTAAAGAAGACAAAACAACAAATCAATTTGACGGTCGCCAATTATTAAACCAATCACCATTAACCCAGCCAATGTACAACTGGGTTCCAAAATTCTCCCACCAACCTCCCATTCCATACAGAAGCAGCCGTTAAGGATGAATATGTCATTTCACTACAATTTTCCCCGCTCTTTGCCTAAATTTCCTACAAAATCTCACCACTTTACACACATCTCGAGCTTTTTATCCACAGAACTACCAAACATACCCTCACCGTTATCTCTCAATTACGTCAACAACCAAATTCTAACGGCAGAATTTTATTTCACACAGATATTTTTATTTTATTTTATTAGTTTTTTTTTATTTTATTTTTTTTGGTCTCTAAACAGTCTCTTCACTTTCTCCACCCACACTCTCCGGTCGGCATCCTAAGTCCACCACCACTGTCCCCATCCTTTCTTCTCTTTTCTCTCTCACACAGTCACACACTCTTACATATATATTTTGCTAAATTACATTCACACGAGCTTCTGATTGCTTTCCTTTTCTTTTCAATCCGCGCCGAAAGTGAATTCGGATTGATCAGCCAGCATCCCCCCCCCCCAGAAAGTTTCTTCCTTTTTTTGAGATTAAAGTAGCAGAAATGAGCGTCGGCAGTTTTTTGCTTAATCGTGGAATTTAAGCTATAATTTGAGCATTTTTGGAGTGTATTTGAAGATCTACTGGAAGGAATTGGAAGCAGGGGAAAAGGGTATTAAGCTCAGCTGTTGAAGCTGGGGGAAGAACAGCAGGATGAAGTCGAATGCTAGGCTTGACTCGGCTGTTTTCCACCTTACTCCGACTCGAACTAGGTAGCTTTCGTTTTCTGATGTTGAATTGCTCTGAATGAGAAAGTGAAAATGGAAATGGGTTTCAGACTGAATTGGGAATTGGAAGTTCTTTGCTTGAATATACATCAAAGACGTTTAATTTGCATTTTTTTTTTTTTTGAAATGAGGTATGATTAGTTTGCATTGTATTTCATGTCCATGCAATTGCGGTAATGATGATCCTTTTTCGGGTTTACACTTTAGGAAAGTTGGGTTCTTTGCTGTCATTGAGTAATTAAATTCTAAACTGAGGGAAAATCCAACCCTTTAGTCCCGTTTATAGATCAAATAAGTAAATTAATAGAACTTCTGACTGTTTGGCTGTTATTTGTTATGAAACAAGTGTATAGAAGAAAGGACTTTTAGTTGTTGAACGCCACCAAAATAATGGCATTATTAGTTTAATGAGATTTTAGCTTGAACTGATACAGTACTTGGTAGCAGGAAGCTGTTGTTGGCCATCTCTATTTCTTGCTTTCAATGTAGTGTTCATTGTAATTGCTTTGGCAATTGGCAGACATGCTAGCTAAAATAGATCATCTTAGTGATAGACTCCTGATTCAATCCATTGTTTGTTATTAGGTGCGATTTGTTTATTGTTGCTAATGGAAAGAAAGAGAAAATCGCTTCCGGCCTGTTGAATCCATTTCTTGCGCACCTGAAGACTGCACGGGATCAGATTGAAAAGGGTGGCTACTCCATTGTCCTTGAACCAGAAAATGTTGAAGATGCATCTTGGTTCACAAAGGGAACTGTGGAGAGGTTCGTTTCTGCATCTAAAAATCTTTTCTACTCAATCGTTTCAGCAACTGTTCACTATGGTGATGAACTTGAAATCATTGACATGTAATGAGAGTAACTTGCAATGCCCTGCTTTATGGGAATGGAAAATGAAAGAAGTGGTATACCATCTCCGTATGATTGGTGCTTAATTCTATGTGATATTTCCTTAGAAATGCATGGTACTGATGGAGAAATATAATTCTTGTCCTGTGACAGGTTTGTTCGTTTTGTAAGCACTCCAGAGATCTTGGAAAGGGTAGATACTATAGAGCTTGAGATCCTACAAATTCAGGAAGCAATAACCATCCAAGGACGCAGTGAAGCAGGCGAGAATCACGTAAGAATTATTACCTGACGTGCTTTTTTCTTTTACCATCATTTTATTTCTTACTGTAATTGGTGGTTTAATAGGTGGAAGACCATGAAGGGAAGCATATCAAAGGAAATGAAGGTATGATGTTAAAGATAAAAGTCTTTGTGCTGTGATCTGTATGCATATTATCTTCTAGTGCTTATTCTTCGTCATCTTCGTATTGTGTGGGGTCATCTCCTGTCCTCCCTCCTTTCTTTTCTTTCTGTTAAAATCAATGGAAACATGAGCTGGATCGCATAAGAGGTGCTACTGCACTTCCACATTATACTTCATTGTACTCTTCTATTGGATGGTAATGCCGGTGATCAAGCAATCTTCTGGTGCTAAATGTTAGAAAATTGAAAAATATGACAGGTTCGAAAACAAATGCAGAACCTAATGACGAGAGAGCCATTGTCTTATATGAGGTACTAATAGACTACTTTTTGTTCTTTGTGTTGGGACTACTCTTTCTCATATGTACGTGTGGGACCTGTTATTCGTATGCGGATATATAATGTCAATCATCTTTCTTTCAGCCTGAAGCACATCAAGCCCAAACCAATGGCCAAATCTCACAGGAGGGGAATTCGAAGTATATCTTCTGTACCTTAAATGATCAAATAACTGAAAGTTTCTGTTTCTTGTGTTACAACAGTCTTGGTTGTTTTGCTTATAAATCTGAACAGTGTGTGAGTTATAGAAAATCATGCTTGGGATCTGCTTTTTTGTTATAAAACTAAATTGTCAACCAGAGTGGCAATATATGTGCAGAACGAATAAGAATGTGCTTCAAAAGTAATAGGGAATTGGCTTCTTTAGTTTTACCATTCAATTTGGTCCTGCTAATGGCTTCTACAAAATTTAGTTACTTTTTTGGGCAATTTTCTTTTTGACTCATGTAGCCGCCTTCAACTGCGTCTCATGTAACTTGTGAATTGACTATTTCCTCTGTGTTCTTTTGCTATATACTTCATATCCATCAAACATCAAATAGCTATTCCTTTGTGATCTGTGACGGAGTTGAGATAGAAACCTCTGCCCTCTCACCTTTCCTTTTTGAAACCAAACTCTTGGTGGCTTCATTTCCTGTCATTTCCCAAACCAAATGTTTCCACTGTTCAATTTTATGTCTGGACATTAGGAGTTGAAAACATTTTTTTGTTGTTCCCGTAGGATCTAAAACTATTGGGGGTTAGTCAGAGATCCCCCCCATGATCTGTGGAGATCGTGAAAAAGTTAATGATAAAAATAAACTTGCATTCTTATTAGTTAGCATATTTTAAAGAAGTCCTGACTGAAGATTGTAAATTATTTGCTCCTTTAGTTTCTAAAGTATCTGCAAACCCATCACTTTGGATGTCTTAAACCTGAATTCTTTGAGTTTAAAGTGCAACTTAACTAGTTGGTCCTTAGCGCTGTCTGATGGTTTCTTTATTTCTTTATTTTCTTTTCAAGTTTGAACACTTCTACTATTTCTCAGACTTTTTGACATGCACAATAAAGTAGGAATTTTAGTGCTTTGTGTTCATTCTTCTGTGTCAGAGCCCAGCTTCTGAAAGTCCTGGAAACAAGGAAAAATATACTGCGAAAGGAACAAGGTATGGCTTTTGCTCGTGCTATTGCTGCTGGTTTTGATGTTGACCAGATGGCACTGCTTGTATCATTTGCTGAATGCTTTGGAGCCTCTCGATTATTGTAAGTAGAATTTTACTGGGTCTTGATCTTTCCTTTCCAAATGCGATGAGGGTTTTAATGCTTCTGGAGAATCAACCGCTTTCCCATACCTCGCATTAAGATTATAATTTGCTTTGACTTGACATCACAGGAATGCATGCTTGAAATTTGTTAACCTGTGGAAGAGAAAGCACGAAACTGGACAGTGGGTTGAAATTGAAGCATCAGAAGCATTGGCTGGTCGATCAGACTTCTCTGCCATGAATGCTTCTGGCATTGTCTTTTCTAGACCAATCGATGATAACTTGGCTTTAGAAAATAACGAGAAATCAGGTTAGTGCTGAACGTCATTTAAGAGTTCTCACTACATATTGTTTTATCTTTTTATATAATTTTTCTTATAACAAATCAATATTATCTAAGAGTTATCGTGCCATCCTCTATGGTGTTTGTTGGTTGGATTGATTTTGTTGATTTATCAGTTTGCATTTTCAACTCCTCTGGCATAAAACTCTTAAGTTAATGAATGATGATAGTTATAGGGTGACTGATATAGTGATTCACTTTGGTCCAATGTTTTCTTATTTGTGCTGTTTTCTTTGCCTCTGTAAATGCACCACTGACAAGTTCATGTTTTTCTGGTGTCTAGGAGGAAAACAAAATCATCAAGCCCCAGTAAATCAACAAGAATATTTTCAGGGTCAGTTTCCCAATGGAATGTTCCCATCCTGGCCTATGCATCCTCCTCCTGGTTCCCTGCCTATGTTTCCGCCGTATCCTGTACAGGGAATGCCTTATTATCAGGGTTATCCAGGAGGTGTTCCCTTTTATCAGCCACCCTATTCACAAGTGGATGATCATCGCTTGAGTTCAAATAATAAGACTCCGCGGAGAAGGCATTCTGTGGGTGGTGGAGATGATAACAATGAATCGGAGACCTGGGAGTCAGGCTCGTCCAAATCAAGGTCAGAGGATGACGCAGAGTTTGAAAGAGATCCTTCAGAATCTAGGCAATCACGAAAGAAATCTGGACGGTCTGGTAAAAAACAGTCCGGCACAGTTGTCATCCGAAACATTAATTACATCACTGCCAAAAAGAAGAATACTGCCAATTCTGATTCAGAATCAGGTTCTTCTGAAAGCGGGTCAGATGGTGAAGATATTCAGGGAAATGATGGCGGTAAAACCTCAAGATCTTCCAAAAGGAGAGGAAGCCATCCAATGGTTGGGGAAGATTATGAGAGAGAGAATTTCAATGAAAAGGAAACAGATGGTGGACACTGGCAAGCATTTCAGAGTTTTCTACTAAAAGGCGTGGATGAAGAAAGTCATACAGCTAAGGAAGGTATGTTCGCCATGGAAAATGCTGGTAAAACAAAGAGACGACAAAATAATGTTGTTGATGATCCATTGGCTCTCGGTGGACTAGAATCGTCTGTAACACAAGATAGAAGGATGGGCACATTGAATGAAGTTCATGGCAATAGGTCTCGTCTTCGTCGAGGATCAGATGACGGTGTAATGCTTTCTGGAGGATATAATGATGCCAGAGGAACTGATGATCAAATCGATATGCATTCTGCTGAGACAAAAGGGAGAAGAGTCATTTCTAGGAACACTAATGATGATTTTATGATTGGCCGTCGAGAAGATTATCCAGAACATGGTTCCTTGGATCCGCTGTCAGTTAATAGATTTGACCGGGTTAACAGTAAGTTAGGGGGAGAATCATCCCGGGGTACTATGGATGAGTCTTTCATTGTGCCATTTAGGTCTATGTCATTGGATGGAGCACTGGAGGATCGAGCTGTCATTGATATGAATAATGAGATGCCATCAGGTGAACAAAAGTCTGAAAACATATCTGGAGGGAAGAGGAGACATGTTTATGAGCCGGATGATGTTAGTTTGATTCCAGAACGTGACACAGAAAATAATATTGGGTATGATCCGGCTTTGGACTATGAAATGCATGCTGGCTTGGATAACGGCGCAAAGCAAACCACCAATGGCAAGGCAAATACAAAAAAGTCGGTCAATGGTCGGAATGTGAAAGGTACTTCAGATACGCTGGACAAGAAAAGGGTTGGAGGACCTATAAGAAAAGGGAAACCATCCAAGACAAGTCCTCTGGAGGATGCACGGGCACGTGCTGATAAGATACGGGCCTTTAAGGCTGACGTACAGAAATTGAAGAAAGAGAAGGTATAATTTCTTTTCATTGATAGAAAAATGTGAGGAGAAAAAATGCAATCATTGTTTATCATTGTTAAAGATTCTCTTTTCATGTGAAGATATTAAGGACTCTGTTAGGGAAATAGTGTGTTTTAAACCAAGTGGAACTGACCAACCAGAGAAAAAATATCGATAACCACAATTGAAAATGGCTTTGGGAAATCATTAAAACACATTAGAGATAACAACATCACTTCTTACGTTATAGTGAAAACATAGGCTTAAATTGAGTATTGGTGTAGTTTCTGGATTTTTAACAACCTGCTGGTTCTCTTGTTTCATGCATTTTTTAATCTTCTTCATTGGTCTGTCTTTGCCAGTCGCAATTTTATCCTTTTAGCTCACGTTATTTATGTCTGCTGACAGGAAGAGGCTGACCTCAAAAGGCTGGAAGCTCTTAAGTTAGAAAGGCAAAAGAGGATTGCTGCAAGAGCCAACTCCACAACTGCTGCATCAACTTCAGCGTCTTCGCAAACGAGAAAATTGCCTTCAAAACCCTCTCCCATCCCTTATAAAGGATCTAAGTTCAGTGATTCAGAACCTGGGTCATCGTCACCTCTACAGAGATCAAAAGTCAGAACTTCTGTTGGATCAAATGATTCTCGTAAATCCTCTAAACCAAGCAAACTATTTGGAGGCAGCCCCTTGCCTGGAACTAGGTTAACTAGATCAGTATCATCATTGTCTGAACAAAGGAAGGAAAGTAGTGGTGTGACACCTGATTCGAAGGCATCCATTGCTCGTATTAAACGGTTATCTGAGCCCAGAAACGTTAGCAATCAGTCTGCTACTTCAACAAAGGTGCAACCCAGATCAGCATCAAAATTAAAGTCATCTGAGGGACCTGATGGCAAAAAAATCTCTGCTATTATGAACCTCGACAAGAGTAAGGGTGCAACTCTTCCTGAGCTGAAGCTTAAAACACCCACGGGACAGTCAAATGCATTCCAGAACAAGGCACTTGCTGGGAAAAACCCCCTAAAGAATGATGAGGTCAAGCATTCTGCTCCTTCTGGACCTTCTGAGCCCTTTATTGACAATTCCAAGCTATCTCAGGATAGTGACATTGATGATAATCCGATTGTGGAGAAAAATATAGTTGTTCTGGAGAATGATAAGCCCTCTACTTCAGTTGTAGATGCTTCCGTGCAGAATTTTGGACCGCAGAACCTACATTTTGAAAGTCATGAAATGCCACAGGAGTCGCAAGGAGTACCTCGGTATGCTGCAGTACCTGAACCTCCAGCCTCTAATGGGGTTCGTAAAGTAACAGTGCCTGGCCAATTACAACTGCATTCCGATATTATTGAGGTAATTGTAATGTTAATTATCTGATATTCACTGAGCGTGCAAAATTGAAAAGCTTTTTTCCTTTTCCATTTTTGAAGTTCAAAGGGCAATGTTTTAGATAATGTGGTTCCTGTAAATTAACATAAAGCAATATGTTTTGTCATGAATTTGTTTTTGGTTTGATAGTGAATGGCTTGGGCTTCAAATATTAGAACACTAAGCAATATGTTTTCCCTTGACAATACTTAACATTTACTTCAATTTCAGTCTAGGATAACTGTTGCCTTTACATTGTCAACCATCAAGTTATGATCTTGTGGTATCAGTAGTTACAAATATTATAGAGACTCAGTACATCACAAAATAGGCACTTGATTACTAAGTTTCTGGTTGAATTATGCATTAATCAGGTAAAGTCAAGTTCTGTGGAAGATTTATCCAAAACTGTGAAACATACGCCTGCTGAAAAACCTTATGCCGCCCCTTATGCTCGAGCATCTTCTTTAGAAGACCCTTGCACGAGAAATACAGACTACAGCAAGGCACCCCCATTAAGCTCCGGAATCACACCAGCGGTAAAAGTTCATGTACCTAGTGAAAGATCTCCTCAAGTTGATTTCATTCCAGAATCTTTAGCCCAAATTCAAGTAAAAGAGTCGCCGAAAGGTTTAAGACGGCTTTTGAAGTTTGGGAAGAAGAGCCATAGTTCAGCCGCTGCTGATCAAAGCAATGAATCTGACACAGCAAGTATCAAAGGTCATGATGCGGGAGCTAAAGTTGCAACCAGTGCTTCCAGTGAAGGTTTGTGCATCTCCCCAACTTTTTGTAGTAATGCCTCGCACTCAAAATTGTTAACAAAGACCCTAATTATATTTATACCAGGGGGTATTACTTTCTACTGAATTCATATCGGGTTTAACAGAGATATCTTTTAACAAATTAGTCGTGAGGAGACTCAAAGATAGTTGTGTAGTACTTTGACTGTGGTGGTGTAAGCCGTATCATTATTTTTTATCTCAATATGCATGTGTACTCTTGGAATTGCTTTTCATACATTAAAATAATTGATGAATTTTTCTATTGCAGCTCATACATTGAAGAACCTGATATCTGAAGATGAAACAAACACTCCTGGCAAGGCTTCACACAAATGTAAGTATGCTATCTATGGTCTGTAGTCTCTACGTTATTAGAAAAAGTGTGGAAATTGCAGATCACTCACATATTTGTCTCTGTGCACAGCTTCCCGCCATTTCTCTTTGTTGTCATCTTTCCGTAGCAAGACAAGCGAAAAGAGGATGTCGACGTAAGGTGGTTATCACTCAGAAAATTTTGCTGCCACGTTCCTTTGGGTAACATTTGGGGAATTCTTGAAGAACTGTTTTGTTTGTACGAAATTGTGTATATACATTCCCATCCTTGTTTGATATTTTGTAATGAAGTGTTTTTACAACTCCTCCTCCTTCATTTTCAGATTTCGCTTAATTATGTAGCTTGTTGTCCATGCACATGTACTAGGATTTGGAGCGTTTATTTTGGTTCTGCATTTGAAGAAATGAAAGAAACGCAGGTACAAAACAAGGAGCATCCTGGCAACTCCATTTTAGTAAAACTAGGAAGAAGTCAAAAGAACTACAGACTATACTTAAAATACACAATAACTTTTAGTTCATTTTCTATCTTTCCGTTTTGCACTATTTTCAAAGCATTTGCATGAGCATTCCCAGGAAGCAAAATGCTCTGATAATCAAGAAGGTAATATTTCCTGTTGGAAGCAGAAACTAAATTAGCAAGTCCTCTTCTTTAAGGAACCAAACAATGGGATTGATATATTATTGATGTAGCAACTATGATAATTATTTTGGGACAAAAAAAGCAGAGTCAATAACCATGTTACCTCCGGCTCCGGCTAAGGAATTGGCAACTGAATTGGCCGATGGAGAAGAAATAAACGTATGAGTTATGTCAATGCCAAGAGGTGAACAGTCATTTTGGAATGCACCTGACACAACATCAATTTTTAGACCGTTTCTTTGAAGGCAATCTTTAATAAATCAATATGATAAACTTATTAGTCTTTGTTTTAATTATCAAAATATAAGCCCTTGTAATTATGTATTTACAAATATCATTATTCGTATTCGAAGTGCTGAAATTTACAACAAATTGAAATCGAGGCTTACATTGTTTATAGCAGGGAAAAGGGGGGACTTTGAACATATTGTCGTAGCCCTCTTCACATACACATCTATAGTTGAATAAGGAGGTCCTATAGCATCTCCCTCCTCCACAATCAGTCCAATGACATGCTATTAAACCACCAAAAAGAAAAATCAACTACTTGGATAATTAACCAAAAATAGGATATGGAAATTTTGAGAATGATGGAAATTACGATCAAAAGTTGAAGTATTAGGCTTGAATGTTGGAGTAGGAAAGGAAAATTCTTGTTTTAGACATGTGGAATTGAGTGTACCTGAAAAATAAAACTGATAATTAATCATTTTGAGATGGAAAACAATAACGTATAATCAAGAATCTGAAAAACTACCTTATAAAAATAAGGAATGAATAAAAAAAGAAAAAAATCATAAAAGTGAGAGACTTGGGCTCACAATTTGGAATCAAACAAGGCATGAAGGGGAGAGTTTCATTCGACTTGGGAAGATTAGCTTGCTTCCAACCATCATGGCATTCGCAAACAAAACCTAAAGTGCTGTTTTGCGATGGTTTGCAAGTACCTTTTCCACATTCCATCACACTGCACATTACATTATCTGCATAAAACAAATGAACTTTGAATTCTAATTAAGAGCAAATTAGCATGTTAATCTTAAGTTTTTTTTTTTTTTGAACAAGTGTTAATCTTAAGTTCGAGTTGCGTAGACGATAAATCGTGACATTTTTTATCGAATAATTTTATAAACAATATAATTAACGAACAAAATAATAATTATACGTACCGATTACCGGAGAAAAAATGTTGCAATTAGCATCCCAAGATTGAATAACGATTATAAGCCAAAACATAGAAGCATGGAGATAATTATAAGCCATGAATGGTTGTTTTCCTAAGATTCTTTTTGGAAAATGATTATGAGATGGAAAAGATAGTGATAATCACGAGAGGAATTGACATGAGGTGTATAGCTATGTATAATGTATTTATATTGAGGTATAAAGTTTCTTATATTAAATTCCTAGCGTTACCACTAAATACATTTCTTTACTCCAGAAAAAATATGACATTTTTAACCAAAAACAAAAATATGATATTCTTTATAATTTAATTAATCCAGTCAAACATGATTTAGTGCTTACTTTTTAATTAAATGAAAAGAAATTATATCGTTCATTAAAGCACAACAAACGGTAATATTTAGGCCAAACCTTGAAAAATACAGTATTTTTTATTGCTAATTATTTAGTTAGCCATTTAATATTTTATATTGCTTATTGTTTTAGTTCAATAATATTTAATATTAAAATGGTAAGATAAGATCTTAATGATAAAAAAGGCAATAGAAAAATGTAGCAACTGACCATCTCTAAACTTGCAACCAATTGTTACATTGTACCTATTTTTCCCTAGAAATTAATGCATGAAATACAACATTTTCATATATTGGTTGGTAATAATAATGTAGACTAATTACTGCAAAAATTAGTTGTATTCAATCAAATCGAATGACTAAGCAGGAGATTATGTTTTTGCTCATTCTTGCCAAAGCCTCTTTAGCCAAGCATTCAGCAGCTTCTTGTGGATCTTCAATATGCCTGATTAGGCCAACTGCCTCTTGATACTTCATCACCTTCATTTATATTCAATTAATTCACTGTAAAAACAATAAATTTTGAGCAGTAATAACCTGGTAGAAAATTTCATGTAAATTTGGTTATTTACCTCCCAAATGCCCACGTTACCTAAGATGATAAATTCAGTTTGAGAGTCAATTCCATGAGATTCCACGACAATATTTGTTGTGGTTTTAGAAGGTTTGATTACTTTTTGACGCCTTGCAGGATCATGAATTAGTAATCGCACTTTTGGTCTACGAAACGAGCCTGCTTATTGCAACAAAAATCAGTAAATTAATGAAACCGTAACAATAGGAAAATCCATTTTATCTTTTTTTTTTAATGCTGATAGAAATTATGTCACATTAAAAGACTCGATTTGCCACTATATGAATATGTAATACTTCGTTGTATAGTAGCAAAAGAAATTTTTACTAAATATATGTGATATATGTTTTAATTATCTACTATGCATAAAAACAATATAGTGTAACTATTAAAACACAATTTTTGATTTTATGCATTATATAGGATATGCATATCGAATTCGAATCTATTGATTGGCTCATGAATAGAACTACAAATCACATTGTTTTCAACAAGAAAAATAAAATTATTCTTACTTGGGATGAATTGCCGAGACCATTGCCTTGTGAGTCCTCTTCCTTGTTTCTTTTCTTTGATATGATGAGCTTTACCATTTCTACACAAAATTGCTTTATATTCCCCCATATTAGCCACAACAAGCTTTTCTCTATTGATAACTATTGCTGTTGCTGAACTCATATGATCTGTCTCCTCTTCTCTCAATTTTGCTCTACAATTCAAATGTGCCTTTCTCAAAATCTCCTTGCTTTTCTTCCTCAAATGCCACTTCATGCAGTAAATCATGCGATCAAAAGCAGCAAAAGAACAACCCCCCCCCCCCCCCCCCAAAAAAAAAACACTAAGGAATTCGAGACTTAATTAGGTAATTCTGACACGACACAAAATTATATAGTTCTAACAATTCGAGATTTATGATAATGAATTGACCCACGAACACGAAATATAACCCGATTAACTGTACCTACCTGTTGAGATTTGTGATTGAACAAATGTGTCTCAATAGAATTGCTAATTTCGTCGCCAATTCGAGGCTCGAAAATCCCAAAGACCCAAAACTCATTCCCTTGAATCTCTTCTCTTTTTGAGACCATAATGTCATGATCAACGGGTTTAGCACCAAAAGACCAGGTTTCCACTATGGATTCATCTCCATGGGATATAGTCCTCTTCCCATTTACCATGAAGTTGCGTTTTTCACCCTCTTCATCGCTTCCTTTGTTAAGCAGTCTTCTAAACCTAAATGCCTGTATACCCAAATCAAAAACATGATTTAATGAAGGAGATTTTTATCTCTACTCCACATTTACAAAAAAAAAAAAAAAAAAAAATATACTAAAGAAAGCAAGAAGATCTAGTCAATGTAAATGTCTAATCATTTCCATTTCTTCATATCTTTTCCTTAGCTAAAACTGCGCTAGAAGTTTGAAAAATTCAAGATTGATATCAGTGTGCATATGTGATGGAAATCTTGATTTATTTGATGTATTTAGCAAATAAAGCAGGAGATGATGAAGGAAGATAGATTTTCTTGAGTAGATCACCAGCGATTTGATAATAACTTTCTCTGGGATATAACAAGAATTTTGAGAGTTTACCTTGAGCTTGAGATAAAAGTTCAAGAATCCCATAGACTATAACTAAATAAGCTTTCATAAAAGGAAGAATAAATGTTAGGATTGTAATCACAAGATCGGATTTCAAATCTTGTTAAGAAGAATTAAAAATTTTCTGTAACAAATAAAGCTCAAAAATAAAAAATAAAAAAAAAACCTTTGGGATCAGAAAGAAAAGTATGCTTTGGGGATGGAAGAATGTAATGAACAACAGAAGAGAAGGTGCCCATACACAAATTCAATTCTACAGCTCAGTATGTTTGTTTCTAGTTAGTTACATTATTTATCTCGGAGTTTATAGCCAAACATAATTTTCCTTTTTAGGAAATAAAATCTTGAACCTTGTATTGTTTGTTTTTGTTTGCTGAATTAGAAAGTCATAGATTGTTGTAAAATTTCTACTTCTTTCTGTCCCATTTTAGTAATCTAATTTTTTTGTAATCATATTATTTTAACTCATGGAACGGATATAGAGTACTTAATAATAACATATAAATGATACCAACTATGAGCAATAAAATTAACTTGATATTTTCTCAAATTCCCATTATTTTTTATTTTTATTTTATGTTTATTTATTTATTTTTTTTGCAAGAAGTACTTCATTAGATTTACTGGAAATCAACCCGCTCTGGATGAGAAAGAAAACTTGGTGGTGATAACCAAGTTATAACATCCGACAAAAGAGATTTTGCATCTGCAGCAACTAGATGCGCTACTTTGTAAGCACTCTTTTTTTTTCAATTTCCTTTTTATTTTCTTAGACTGATTCTTGCAACTGCGATTAATTTGGATGTATAATATAAGTACACATTGTTATAACTAATTAGTGATAATTTGTAATAACTAGGTTTAAATAGACAAACGAAAAGCCTCCTGGTTAGCCTAAAATTTGGATAATCTTACTAGAAACAAACTAATCACTCCCCCCGTCCCATACTTATTGTCCAGTTTTACTAAAATGAAAGATTTTATTTTTGGCCAAACTTAACTATATTTTACCTTAAACAACCAGATATACCCCTACAAAAGTAATTGTTTAACCACAAAGATTTTATGGATAATGTTTTTTACTAAAGACAAATGTGTAAATTGATCCATAAAAAGTCAAATTGGACAATAATTTTGGGACAAAATTTTTTGGACAAAGTGGACAATAATTATGGGACGGAGGGAGTATTATTCATTAGTTACGTAAGAAAAAGTGGTTCGATCATAGATGAAGGCGTGCCAATCTCTTAAGATACTTATTCACGCCTTTATGATTTAGCTACCACTTCACGGTCATTTCCCAACAATAAAGGTCTGAGTTGCATAAAAAAGCGTTATTTTATGCCTTTCTGAAGTCCACGCTTTTAAAGCAAATTTGATTGGCCAGAATGTCCTTCTTTTCCAAGAGGAGAAAAATCCAGACTGTGCTTTAGAATAGTTTAGCTTTAATTGGCAGCGTAGGACATTTTGGTCAATTGACTGCTTTACCCACAAAACTAAAACCCAACTAAAACCCTCCATTTCTCAAATTCCCATTGAAGAACAAAAACTCTGGGCCAAGAGAATGGCGGTCTCTCGTTTGATTCAACGAAGATCAGGCTTAAGAATCAACAGATACGGTAAATTCTGGAAACCCATTTCTTCAAAGTGGAATATTATTCAATTTTCTTCTTCAATTTGAACAAATGATTGTCCAAAGATTACAACTTTACTGTAGTTTTGATGCTTCAGATTTTGTTGTCTCTCTTATGTTGAAGCTCTATCAATTTTGTTGACGTAGTCTAAGGTGATTTTTGAAAAAACTGTAGGGTTTCCGAATCCAGTAAGATGGTCCTCTTCACATTCTTCTGAGATTGAGAAGCCAGCCCAGGCCAAAAAAAGGGGTGTTCCGAAGGCAGAAAGGGCTGTGGCTGCGGTGTCATTCGTAAATGAGTAAGCTTTTTCTCAGATCCCTGTTTTTGAATGAAATTTTGATTGATGATATTCTGAGTAAGTGATGATAGAAACATCTGTAGCATTTGAAAATTCTAATTCTGGGATCTCATAGTTAAAGTTGTTGTGAAAGTATAGGAACTTGTTGTAGTGGTATTCATAAAAAATAGCGAGTCCCTTTTTGCACATTTTGATCCAAGCAATCGTAGGTTACCCTCATTATACCGTGTGATTTGACTGATGAAGTTGAGAGTATGATGGAGTTGTTTTGTTTTGTTTTTGTTTTTTCTTTTTTGTTTTTTTTTTCTCTCCTTGACGATGTAAAGTGAGGCGTGTTGAGGAAGAAGTTACAAGTTTAAGAAGTTAACTAGACGTGTCGGGGCTCCCTGATAGCAATTGGTTGACAGAAGTTAATCATGTATACATTTTCAATCCTTAAAATTGGATACTGTTTAGTGTTTAGATAAAGAACAAAAGGCTTTCGAGTCCTGGGTTAGTATTTCAATTGACATTTTGCTATTTATAGATTCTAACAGAATGGCTTTTGAAGGTGTTTGTGCTTTCCTGGGTGTTCATTTATTTTGTTGTTGCTCTCATGATTCTTGCTCTCATGATTCTTGTTCTTTCCCAACTCTTACTAGTTTGTCCATCTCTCAAGCACAAAGTAACTCCTTGACGGCCCAAGCCTAGAGTTTTACTTCCTGTGCTTGAGTTCAATAAGATAAGCTAGTAAAATTAATGCCATAGTTTTTCAGTGTCTTTGAGATGACCTTTAGATTATATGTTTCATCTATTGCATCCTTTCTGCTAATAAGAATCCTGCTACAAGTATAACCCTCAATGAAGCTTTCACATTTTGGTGAGTTAACCATCAACCGTAGTTAAAGCCCTTAAAGATTATATTCTAAATTTAAGTCTTTTTATTTCTTAAATTTTATGTCAGCAGCCTTCTTGATTCTGCAAAACTGTTTCCAATTCTATGTTTCTTATGGTACGTCACCACATCTTATGACCAGGTACATGGAAAAAAATTCAAGGCTTTTTCCTAAGGTGGCCCATATCCAAAATAAGGTGGGTGGATCATGGGACACTGTAAAAGAAATTGTTACTAACATAAAAGCAACTATGGCGGGTACCACCCGAATAGAGAATTGCCGTAATGTTAATGATCCAACTCCTGCTAAACATTCTGAAGTTTCTAAAGTTAATGCAGATCTGTACGAACCTGATAATAAAACTGATCTCTGTTGCCACCATGGGTCTTCTTTGGAAGCAGAAAGGGTACAACGAGATGAAAACAAAGAAGGAAATGTTGAGGAATCCACAGGAACGCCAGTAGGGTGTTTGTCTAGTCTGACAGTCAATGCAGTATCCTCAGATGTTACTTGTATGCACCATCCATCTAGCTTATCTGATCAGGATAAACTGGATTTCACTGGGAATGTAGGCCAGCAAGAGACATGTACTTCTTCCACGCCAGCAGAAAGGGTGCAACAAGGTGAAGATGAAGAAGGAAATAAAGAGCATTCTACAGGAACGGCAGTAGAGTGTTTGTCAAGTACAACAGTCGATCGAGTATCCTCAGATATTACTGATACGCACCGTCCTTCTAGCTCATTTGATCATGATAAACTGAATTTCACAGGAATTCTAGATCAGCGAGAGACTAGTACTACTGGCAGGCCATCTCCCAATTCAAGAGTTAAAATAAATGCAAATTTTGATGGCCCTAGTTCCCCCCGAGGGCTCACCAGACTATCAAATTTCTTCAAGGTAGAAGATAGTGTCACAGTTCCTGAGGCCAATAATGAAAACAAGGAATCATTTTCCAGCATACTTAGTCATCTTAAATTAGATAAGAATCCACAAGGCAGGAGTTTGATATCCCCTGGCATTTCAAAAGAAGGCAATTTGTTCAACAAAAGGCCAGATTTGCTTGCGAATAAATCACTCTCCAGTTCATGGGAAAATCAACCTGGACAGGAAATGCTTGCATCCAGGGAAGGCATCGAACAGTGGAATACAAAGGCATCTGTGTCAGTTAGAGGCAAGAATAGAGATTCAATACACCATATCTATCGGTATTTAGAAGAGCCCATGCAGAAGGATGAGACGAATAGAGAGGAAATTAATGGGTTAAAGGACTGTATCAGGTGGAACCTAGGAGGTTCCTCTACTGCCATGTGCAAGAATGAACTTATTTTTCCAAAGACTGATGAAAGTTGTGAAAAAAGCGAATTAGGGAGCCAGTCAAAATCTACCTTGCACGGGTCCAAGAAGAAAGAAAGAAATTTGTCTGCAGAATATCCTGCTATACGTAGTGAAAATAACCATGACGATTCAAGTAAGGTACTAACCACAGATTTGAGGACTACAGTTGCTAAAATAATCAGTCAAGATTTTGACAAAGCAACAGGACATTCACAAACTTCAGTTCTAACTGACAAGGAGAAATCACATGAAGCACTGGAAAAGTTTCCCATAAGAGAAGAGGCTGGGGAACACAAAGCCGTTGTGAAGTTCTTACCCAGACATGCAGAAAACAAGGACATATTTCTTTCCCTTAAGGCATGCGGTGATATTCTGAAGGTTGAGTTTTCATCCCCCGAAGGGGCTTTTTTCAGAGATGCTAATGTCTATTTCAAGGTGAGTGGTCATGACTGTTCCCCTCAGTAATTCAGATTGTTGTTTAATTAGAAGTTGGGGTGCAATAGGGATTCTTCCATTCTTTTTCTAACAGACGTAAAGCCATGGTTTGAGAAGGAATTACGCCATCTTTTTAAAAGCATTTTCTACTTCTGGTGAGATAATATTTCATGAAAAGGAACATCAACAACCTGCATATATATTTTTTAATTGTTACCTTTGGCTAATCTCCAATTCAATATCAATGCAGAAGCGAGAAGGTTTACTAAAAGCCCTTTCAGAAACTGATATGACGTTGAGAAATGCAAATGTAACTGTGCAAGGTGATTCAGGGGAAGACCTCACCAGTAGAATTTCTATCCCTAGCATAATTGGTGATCCAGATGTTCCTGCTGCTGTGGTGAAAAATCCTACAAGGACAGTCAAGATTGAACAATTGACCCAGGAAATCAGCTTGCATGATGTGGTTGTAGCTTTGCAATCCTGGGGAAGTAATGTCACTGGTTTCTTCTTTGGCACTCTGGATTCTGTAGCTTACGTGGAATTTGAGGTATCACTCTCACTTTTCGTTTGTGATTGAGTATATACCTTGGTGCAATTAGCCAATCGTTTGACTTATCCATGGGGCTTAGACAAAACTCCTGCGCCATTGTCATTTCTATAATGTGGTTCTTTACTATTGCAACGCCAAAACTGTAACTTAACATTACGTGAATATGGATCTTTTAACTAATGTGTTAGTTTGGTAATGATGCTGTTATTCATGTCCAGTTAGTTCTTCGATGTGGGTATCACTAAAATTGCCCATGGATTGTAATTTGTAGGAAGAAGATGACAAAGAAGCGGTTCTTGCAAGACACTCAATTGATGTACTGGGTAAGCGATTGTTAGTTTCACGAATTGATGCTCCAAGAACAACTTGTGTAAGAATTTCATACCACGAGTCAACACTCAGAAAGGAGATAGTTAAAGTGTACACTTCTCTGGGAGAACCTATGCTATCCCGGATAAGGCGTCCCGGCATCTTGGATGTTCAGTACAAGATTGCAGAATGGCCGAACATGTTGAAGATCTTAAACAGGTGATGATTGTTGACTTACCCTTTTTTATCTGTTTGTTTTTTCGAGTTAAAGTTTATAAGAGCATCATTTAAACCTTTGTGCGTGTTTGGATTTCTCAGTTTGAATCAAACTAAAGTAAATGGTCATAAACTGAAAGCTCAGCCTGCAACTGTTATCCCTCCACCAATTCTCCAAATCCTGTGGCGCCACCCGGAAGAAAGGATACACGTCAAAAATTGTGTGCAGAAACTGTTGCGGAACCTGGGGGGAAATATTGTACATAAAGCAAATCTTGCTGATCTTCCCAACTTTTACTGAGGACCAAACTGTGCCCTTTTCTCGCAGATCCTAGGTATTATTACATATGGTTTGTAAATTTACAAATTCTTGACAAATTAGAATGCTTGAGTTTCAGGAGAAACCCGGATAGAAGTAATATCAGATTAGATCCCACATTGCAGTTTAGGTTATGGGTGAGAATGATTTTAGGACACCTGAAGTTATGATCAGTTTCAATGCAGTAAGGTAATATATGACACTTGATCTTCTGGTACACTTGCGTTACATTTTCTGTGACACTTATCAGATTTATTTGACGCCCTTTTGCAGTTCCACCCTGCGGTGAAAATATACACTCTTTCAGTCGTTGTGGAGACGTAAAAATGGTGTCTCCAACTGGGATTGTGCAGAGAATCAAGAATAAGAATTTCAAACTTTGAATATGTTTATTACATTGTTCATATTCTTTTTGTCGATAGACACATCTTGTCTGTTATTCTGCATATATTTTGTGCGTACGGTTTTAACTTTGTTGTTGATAGAAGTTAGAATAAACCGAAAGAGAGAATTTTTGACAATTTCCATGTTGAAAAGAATGTGTAAATTCAGCGATAAGGTTATCACAAGAGAAGAAGATATTCCAAATAATATCTATTTAAAGCCAGAATTAGCAAGTGTTTCTATAAACAATACTTATCCAGCATCTTTCTAGACTTTGGCATCATCAATTTCTTTTCAGCTTAATTACGTTACTGTTAGACATTTCACATCCCCCGAGAATTTATTCATATTCTCTTCATCATTTGAGCAATATTTAAGAGAACAAAACAATGACCAAGTGGACGTTTTTATCATTGCTCCTTTTGTTACTTATGATTTTATAGATCAAAATGACCTTAACATCTAATGTCTGAAACCATTCAATCATCCGTAATACAACATTTTTCTTTCAAAAAGGGGTTAATTGATTTTTTTGGATAATAAAAAATGGTTAATGGTCAATAGGCATAAAGCCTTTGACGTTGTTTAATGCTATTTTGGCAGCTCAAGGAATCTAAATATTCTCAGTCTACATTTTGAGAAAGAAGATTTATTAAAAAAAAAAAGGCTGTTGATACAAAGGAATGGAATATTCTCCTATTGGCATTCTAAGCTAAGATGTGCATAAAAATAATCACTCTAATCTAAAGATTGAAGGAGGAATTTTGCCAACCTGCTTCTAATGATAACTAGATATCTTAATTATTCATTATAGCTTTATTCCATAAGAAATTTTTGTCAGTAACTTTCTTGCTATATAAATCAAAGAGGCTCTCTCTCTTCTTCTTTTCTATGCAAGGCATTTTGGAGGTGCTTTTTTGGAGATGGTTGGAGGAGGAGGAGGAGAAGAAAAGGCTGTGGAAGAGAGATCAATCATGGACATTAGTCTTAAGGATCTCTCCAAAAAGCTTGAAGAATTTGCTAAGGCTAGAGATTGGGAGAAGTACCATAGTCCAAGAAATTTGCTTCTTGCCATGGTATTTTTTACTTTCTCAAAATGATTCAATCTTTTTTTATCCTAGCCTTTTGTTTTGCCATATTGAAGTAACTCTCTTTCACATTTGTATTAGAAGTTGTTTAATTTAATAAGCAATTGACAACCATTAGAAATGAACCATTGATTGAGTGGTCAAGAAGTTGAAAATTTTAATGTAAGATCACAAGTTCAAATCTCAGCAGTTACAAAAAATAACATATAATAAAAAATAGTTATTTCGTGAATTAAAAAGTGTTACAAACATCTCTTCTACACTTCTCTTCAATATTAATAGTTCGAATCTCACTTCCTGTAAATACACATCTTCAATCTATGAAACATGGGAGTACTTTATGCAATGGCCAATGAAAAATTTTGTTTACCATGTTTTTTTTTTCTCACTAATAAATCTTGATATATTTTTTTTTGTGAAAATTTTAATGGGCAGGTTGGTGAAGTTGGAGAACTATCAGAAATATTTCAATGGAGAGGAGAAGTGGACAAAGGGTTGCCAAATTGGGAAGAATCAGACAGAGAGCATTTGGGAGAAGAGCTGTCTGATGTTCTCCTCTACCTCATTAGGCTGGCAGACATTTGTGGAATTGATTTAGGTGATGCTGCCACCAAGAAAATTGTCAAGAACGCCATCAAATACCCTCCTAAAGTAACCTGAATTTGTACCCAAAAAAAATTTGAGAAATTTTTGTTGTGTGACTCAAATTTTGAACTAGAAGAACTTAGTTTCTTTCATCTAATGTTTACTGTTTTTTTTTATTTTATTTTTTTATAACTTTACTTTTGTTTCGATAATCATTTCTAGCTCGGTTCTTAATTATTGTTAATATGTTTTTATGTTGAAATTCTATCTACTTCTATCTAATATTTCCTTGGAATCAATTATCAAGGGCAGCGGGAGATTATTCACTATATTAAACCATCAAAAGTCCCATTGAGTATTGTAATTATAAAATCCAATTCAAGGGTTTCTGAAACTCTATTCCGGCTCCATTCGCATAATTCAAGGAATTTCTTTTTCATATATTCTAATAATAATTTTTTTAAAAAAAAAAACTAAAACAATCATCCCATTTGCAAATTCATTCAAATTTTTTTATTCTTGCAAAATACTCTTCAAAATTAACCGTCCCATTTCGAATTTCTAAAAAACTGTTAAAATCTAAATAGAGATTATAAACTCAATGAAAAGATTAGTCATTGTTGTCAATATCTTACAATAAAGAAAATTAATAGTGGTATAAACAAAAGGTTTGAAAATCTATAAAAGGGCTCCACTTAATTAGCTCCTCCCTTTGACAAAACAAAAGGTATGCATGTAATCCGGGTCTAATATTCTCCATTGTGTTTTTGTTTAAAACCACAGAAACAGCGGGTATTTTGAAAAACAGTTAAACGTGACAACCACTCATTCAAATTAATTTCGCAAAAGATTTTTTTTAATTTTTTTAAAGAAAAAATAAGTACGTTTGTTGATTTTTTTTTTTTTCCCATTACAATGATTAAGGTTAGGACATGAACAAATTCTTCAAAAGCGACGATCTAGTTTAGTTTCATCAACAAAAGTCCCATTTGTCCACTTTTAATAAAGCAGGTATATCGTCATTTTTAATGAATTTTTTCCCTTAATTTTCTGTAATAATTCATGAATCTCAACATGTCTTGAAATTTTTATATGCTGCATTTTGGCTATTTTGGATTTCGTAAATTTGTTTTGATCCTTAAATATCCTGGCTTTTCTTTTTGATCAGGTTATGATTAGGTAATTGAGAAGAAATGGAAGGAACTCCTTTTAGCCCAGCTTTGGCACAGATGAATAATGTAAAATCTGAACATGGGGAATTGCTCTCCAAGCCTTTCTTGGATGTCTGCAGACTTATTTTGCCACTTTTAGGTATGTCTCCGAATGACCACTATCTGTAACGAACTCCATCCGTGCCATAATAATTGTAATGTTCTCGAGTCGAGGACATTTTTTATTTTCACAAACAAGTACTATATATATATGTCCTCGAATAAAATGTTAAATTCTCATGACAGATAAATTTGGAGCTGCAATGACAGTTGTGAAATCAGATATCAGCGGTAACATATCGGTGAGATTACTGTTTGGTAAATGCATTTGATCATATCAAATTACCTCATTTGTTGAGCATTAGGCTCAAAACTGGTGATATTAAGCCTGATTGTTTAATTTGCAGAGGTTGGAATCAAAATATAATTCCAATACATCCAGATACAACTACTTGTACAGCATTGTACAGTCAGAAGTTGAAACAAAGTCTGCCAAATCTTCATCTAGCTGCACCAATGGCCTTCTTTGGTTGACAAGGTTCTTCTTCCTCTAGCTAGTTATAGTTACGAAAAAAATCAGTCTATCATTATCCGAAAACTCCTAAATGTGGGACTGAACTATGGATATCAATTTCATTGGTTCAGAAATGCTTCAGGATGTGAAAAAGATCAAATTTTTACACTGTGAAAATGAAGTAGCTGACCAACTCAATTTGGTGCAGGGCAATGGATTTCTTGGTGGAGCTGTTTCGCAATTTATCGCAGCATCCAGATTGGTCAACTGTACAAGCTTGTAATGATTCCTACAGCAAGACTTTGAAAAAGTGGCATGGATGGTTTGCCAGTTCAAGTTTCATGGTAAAAACTGCCTAATCCAAAAATAGAACAATGTTCCAGGAAAATAAGCACCTTTTTGTTATTCCCAAAAGCTAGGAAAACACATAGTCCTAAGGTTTCTTCTGGCAAAATTATCAGGTTGCTATGACGCTTATACCTGACCGGAAGAAGTTCATGGAGGTACTAGGAGGAAACTCGGAGAGTATGCAAGAGGATATGGTAAAATTTTGCACAAGCTTTTCGCCGATTCTCGCAGAGATCCACAAATTTCTGGTAAAGATATGCTTCAGAAGAACAATCGACCCATGCTTCCAATTTGTATTAATGTGTGCAATATGTGCAGGCAAGTGTTGGTTTGGACAGCATGAAAGCTTCATGACAAAATCAAAGCTCATCTATCTTCTTCACGGATTTCTTTTTCAACGAATCCTAGTTTCAGAGATTTGTTTTTGTGAGTTGTATCCTATAGTCAATACCTATAACAATCTTTTATATCTTCTTTTCTGGTGCATCCTTTGGTTTAATTGCCTTGAATGTATCTGTTACTCTGTCTACATTGCAAAAAATCTGTTGGGCTAATTGAAAGGCGTTAAAAATTTCGGCCAAAATAGAAGGAAAGGTGGAATTGTGACCATGAATGGGAGGGTACTAATCCATACAAAGACATGATACAGTAACCAATTCATCTTATTTGGTTCTAAACTGACAAACTAGAAACCCTCAAATATTCATACCTAAAGCGAAAATTACACTTTTGCGAACAGAAAAGATAATAATTCTCCATATCATGTAAAGGCTGGCCTTGTCTAATCATCCACCATCCACATTCACAATCATAACAACTAACATCAACATGTTTTAATGGTCTGTTGATTCCTATCATTGACAGATAATGGCGTGCTTTCTTATGCAAGTGACGAACCGGTTCGCTGTCATAATAAGCCATTATCAAACATAAGAATTCTAAAGATACCTTTCTTGTGCTTTCTGATTCATACAATGACATTGCCAACAAGTAGGATGCAGCCATGCGCTCTGGTATGAAAAAGGGTGATTCCTTTCCACCGACTGTAAATCCGTAGTTCTGCAAAGAGTGCAGTATACACAAAATCAGGAATAGGGAATGTAACTGTATCCAATTTATTAATCAGCAGCATTAATTTTTCATAATTAGACAAAGGCTTACAAATCCAACAGCTGCTATTGCATACAGATTCCCCATTGACGCACATCTCCATATGAAATCTCGATAAGACCGTTTGGAGTTGGATAATGAATTTGTGCAAGAGAGTTTAGCCATTTGCAAGATTTTCGGATCATTTTTCAAATCATTGAAAGTCTTGCATCTGCAAACAATATATCATCAGCGCAGATAGATTTCTGCCCTCCCGATTCCTATATCTAGAATAACTAACACCTGTCCGGTTGTTCAAATCTATACCTGGCTGCGTACTTGAAGCTTCCGAAAAGGAAATTACTTTAAGAAAACACTTACACACAAGCTAGTCGGCACAAAATGATACCACCTTCCTCTTGAGTTACCACTCTCAAAATTATCTCATTGACAAGAATCTCATCTGGAAGGACAGCTAGCATTTCCCCTGATGATATTCCCTGGTAAAACAAAATCAAACCAGAGCAGAATACGCAATGATCTAAATGAGAAGTCAAATCAATTAAGATACAACACTACCTCAAATCAGTAGATTAAACCATATCTGTTAAGTGGCATTCATAAGGATAATAATGACACAAAGGTAAGTAACTTTTCATTTGGATAATCATCAACTGTCAAATTAAAGGCAACGAGTGACCATCTTCAGGCTTGGTATCTGTCATAGTAGAGGGATTCACTACCTGATTGTCCTCAGCCCTCGGATTTTGACCTCTTAACCACGCCCACATGTCAGTAACCCTATCAAAGGACAAAAGGTTTAGCTACGATGTTAATGGCTAGATGAATTAACAACGAAATTTAACAAATTCATTCCAATCAACTTGAAAATATTGATCTCATTCTGAAATCTGCAAATATTGTATGAATGACGAATAGATCACAAGTATTGTAAGCAAAACTTTGAAAACCAAGACACTAAAGAATCAGTACTTGGAGACAGAGTATACAGAACAAAAGAATGATTCCACTACAACTTCTCTATTGCTCCTAATTCATTTGAATTCCTAGGTAAGAGGAATAACAAAATTGGGGAAAGAAACTCAGAATTGATCACAAGAAGTAATGAATTTAGGAATCCCTCAACAAATTCATCACTTCTGGAACAACCAAATGCTAAGAAATCAACCAAAAAGATCAAATTTTTATGCAAAACAGATACAGCACTCAACAACAGAGAAGCGGAAGAAGACTTACAAAAGCTATATTAATCCAACTGAATTAAGCCAAAATTCCACTAAACACCGAACAAGAATTAACATGTAAGAATATGTTCATGTGTAATCAACCACTTACAAAACCAAAGAAACCAGAAAACTTTTGAAAGAAAACAAGCATAAGATCGATGATTCAAAGGTGAAAAGCTTACAAATTTACCTGTTAATGGCCATTTCCCTTGTATAACTCAGAGAGTGAAACAGCAGCGAGTCAGCTACACCTTTCTGTGTGTTCAAAGGGGCGAATTCTGTATGTCGGGTTTTTTCGGTTTGTTCAACTACAGTTTAAAGGAAGTTACACTTTTGGTCCTTGTACATAATGGTCTGCAATTTATTAGCCCTCCGAATTCTTAAGGCAAAATACGCTACAATTTGATCAGAAAATTAAAGGTAATGTTTTGTCTTTGGTACTTGAACAAAATTTTCTTTTCATTGTTGATTTTGTTTTAAAAACTCGTCAATTTTCATTTCTTTTCATTGTTGATTTTGTTTTAAAAACTCGTTAATGGTGTTGTAGGTGTCACGGAACCACAACTCACACGTGTTACTATTTGGATGAAGGTCAAATCGAAAAATACAACTGAACATGCGAGGGTATAGTTGTAAAACAAAATTGATATAGTTACAATGCAATACTATAAGCTGTTTAGCTCAGCTTTCAGCATATTCCTCATTTTCTTTAGGCATTCAAGCAAAAGAAAGTCATTACTACAAAAGACTCTGAAGAGAGCTTGAAGAAAGGTGACAAAAGTCACAAGCCAGCAAAAAACCTCTCTCTCTCTCTCTATTAGCTTGAAAGGCTGGTAATGAAACCTAAAGCCACAACATAGCAAAATAGTGGATTGTGTTTCACCTACAGAGACTAATCACATGACTTCTAGTACTATTAACATGCACCAAAATGATGATTGCCCTTACTGCCCAAAGTTCAGACACACAGAACAAAGCCTCTTATAACTTGCAGATTTCTTGCATGGGTCAAGTCACTTAGTTGGATACTTGGATCCTCCATCAGGAAATTTCCTGCTCAGAAACATTAAAACTATGAATACAGTATACTGAATACTTATGAGAATGAATATGCTTCCCAACTGAGGAGTGTTAATTCCCTAAATTGAGGTTCCTAGCAAAGGCTTTGTTTCTCAATGATATGAAATTAGATGAATGGTTTTAGATCTCGTCATGCAACTTCCACAATATGAGACACCTGGGAGTTTGGGTAACAAACAACGCTGATTCATCCAAATATATACATGACATACATAAAAGTCCTGTTCAACTTGTGAAATAAGAAAGAGTGGTTTTTAGAGTGTCTGTGATGGATAAGATGCCAAGTAAAGGTACAAACAAAACTAAACATGCTTCCTAGATGACCATGATCACTGATCTTTTGATTACATATTGACAAGGATAAAGTTGATCTCAAGTAACAGGGTTGCATCTTTTAATAATTCCTTCACAAGCAAACATGTTTACAAATTTGTAATAGTAGTTGCCACTTTGATAATCGACAAGATACTTGGCAGATCTCTTCTTGAAAAGCAGAGGCACAAATGATGCTTTCCAGAAAGTTAAATGAAGGGTGGAGCCCTTCTGGATGTTGTAACTTGTCAAATTTCGATCATCGCCCAGAGATTTGCCCTCATACGTCAGCCTCTGGACATACGTAGGAATTCCTAGTTTATGAAATATCTTGTGCTTAAGCTTCATAACTAAATCTTCTCGACGTACATTGATAGTTGCCGTTTTGCCACTGAAGCCCTTCACAAACACCTGGATACTTGGCCGCACCATCTTTAATACTGAGCCTTCCGTAATGTTATACCAAGAGAGGTTCTTCGAAGCCTCAAGTTGCAGACCATTATAAACTAGACTTAGACCAGAGACTGGGTAACCAACTTTGCTCTCAAACCAGAGTCTTGATATCAGCAACGGTGTACAACATCTTAACTTTCATCTTGAGGATTCGTCCAGTTGGCATTTTGACTGAGATTATCAGGGCATCTCTTGGAGTTCTGATCATGTGAAGGGTCACTCCTCCTTGGATGTTGAGAGATGCTAGAGTCTTGTCATTTTCAAGCAGCTTACCAGCATAGACCAGATTAAAGTCATCTGAATGAATCCGTTCTGTGGCCAAGATAGAAGATCTCACATCTTTGATAGTGTCACAAGACCTTGCAATCACAGCAACTTTCTGATTATTGGTTAGTTTAACAAATAGTTTTAGGGGCACAATGTTTTTGACAAAACACAGGAGAGCGGAATTCTGCTGAATGCCACAATCAACTAGCATTTGATCATCACGAAGCCTCTCCCCAGAGAAAAAGAGGTGCTGAAGATTCTCAGAAATGCCTTCTTTTTCATTCAGTAATTCTTTAAGGTCTCTGACAGTATCTGATCTCTTCACTGCCAAACCAACTCTTTTGACAAGACTCAAGGATACATTTATCTGCAAGACAGAAGAACAACTACGAAACTTTAGAGAATTAGTTGATAAAGACCATACCTCAACATTCCAGAGTATAACCTGCACAAATTCACAGACAAACCAGTGTTGTTGAAGCATTATAACGTTCAATGAAGATGAAGAAACTGTGCTATTGTCCTGGCTAAGATAATGAAGGCAATTCAAGCTTAAAGCCGATTGATCCTTCTATATAATTGTGTTATTTGCCTTCTTAAGATGAAGATGCCATAAAATAACTTAATTACACCCCATACAACAAAAACTCCTCCTTCCTAATCATGACTCTGTAACCGGACGAGACAAGTGCATGACAAGTTACGAAAACAAAACCTGAAGCCCTGAACCAAGAACCAAGATGGCCAAGAACTAGCAAAATTCTAATCATGGTAGGTTGATTGGTAGCTGATAAATCAAGACACACAGGGAATTTCAGATTAAACTACAAGAAGAGTTCTCCTCTTATTAATTTTTTCTAAAAAAAACAGAAAATAAAGTTGGTCAAGTAACAATCATATCACCATTCTTGCATAACTTCTTTGGTTGAGTATTGCTTTTTAAGATCAAGAGGAAGAACCCAGTTAAACCCATTAGATGACTCCCTAGACTGAGTAAAGTAAGACCAAAAAGATCCTATCTTTGAAGAACCCACGACGTAAAATGCTATGAAAAATGATGGGTTTGTTCTTCTCTCCCAAATATCCAGTAAATTTCTCCCACAAAATGAACTGAACGCTAAACTTCTCCTATATTCACTTTCAAGTATCGTAACAAAAACCGCAAAAAAAAGGAAAAAAGAAAAAATAGAAAACAGAATGTAGAAATGTTTACCCTTTGTTCTTCACCATTATTGTTCTGCCCAGATGATCGGTTTCCTTCCATTGGAAATTCAAGAACCAGAAAACGCCCACAGTATTGGAATCACTGATGAAAAGGGAAACCTTTCTTCAAGTAAAGAGTGTAAAATGAGCTTAAAGATTGAAGAGATAGAGACAATTTAGTGAATTTAAGAAGCCATGCTATAGGCTTCTTCTTCTAGGCCCGTATAGAGTTCTTAGCTTAACCGCCCGTTTCCCAACCTGAGTCTGCTATTTGTCTATTCGTATTCCGGGACATAAAAAGTTAGCAATTATGGTTCAGTTTAGTACAACTTATTTTGTACAACTTATTTCCCAACCTTCTCCTCCCCAATGGGTCAATTGTTATTAAAAACTTTTCAATTTTTTTTTTTACAAATAAAAATGTAGCAATTATTTGCCTATTCGTATTCCGGGACATAAAAAGTGTAGCAATTATGGTTCAGTTTAGTACAACTTATTTTATGCAATACATAAAATTTTAATGTTGGGACGAAAAAAATAACGGTTGTATTGGCTTCTTTCTTCGGGCACTTTAGCACCATAAGGATCCTGATTCATAACATCATTCAAGACAGTTCTTCAAAGACGCAAAATCATTTTCAAACCCAAAAAAGTCTCTCTACTGTTGACAATTTTGTCTTCTGAACCAAGGGCGGAGCCAAGCCCCCAATAGTAAGTGGGGCACACTTTATATGCAAATCTTACAGGGGTAAGACTGAAAATAATTTAAATTTTAGTGGTTTATTTTATAATTTAATAGTACATAAGGGGCATTTTAAAATTTTGAGCTGGGGCAGTTGCCCCCAGCTGGCAATAACCTGCCTCCGTCCCTATTCTGAACCATAATATTTTAAATGGTTCCGATCCCGCCGATCTGATCCCACCGATCCAGAATCCGATCCGATCCTGAGACGCTGAAACGATCTTGTGTGAAATCCCGTTTTTGAAAACATTGATATCGAGAAAGTAAGATAAATCAGCAGCTTACAATGATGGCTACATTTCAAACTCTCTTAAAATACTCTGGAGGCAAATTTCTTGCTAATGAAGCTAAAGACTAGGTCCTTCTACAATTGACATTCCAAAAGTGATGATTGCCCGTGTCGCGCCTGCGCCGGCTTCAGACTCACAGATAGAGAAAAGCCTTCGTACTTGTAGATTGCTGGCAAAGGTCAGTTGGATTCAGCAAGTTGGTTATTTTTCTGCAGAGAAAAAGAAAAGACATGAACATACTGCAAAATCATCTATATGAAATGAGGTTCCTAAAAGCACATTTGGATGAATGGTTTTCAATCTCAAAACAAAAATATATGAGAGGAAGTAGGGAGAATATAAGAGAAAATGTTATGGTAACAATCTACTTGGAGAAACCAACAAACATCAATGTTGCGAAAGCAACCAATTCATAATGTTTTGTATGTATAATGGATTTTTAAAAATAAACAAGAAACTTCACAGATATCTTCTTCTATATCCCTATGTAGTAAGCAGTAACTTCACCTGAGACACAAGTGATGATTTCCAGACAGATAAATGAAGAGTGGAATCCTTCTGGATGTTATAACTAGCCAAACTTCGATCATCTTTCAGATATTTCCCGTCGAACATCAGCCTCTGGACATGAGTTGGTATTCCAATTTTACGAAACACCTTGTCCTTAACCATTGATATCAATTCCTCTCGATACACGAAGAAAGTTAATGTTTTGCTATCAGGGTCCTTAAGGAATACCTGCAAAATTTGTGGCGCCATCTCTAAGAACTCTAACATAGAGCCTTCAGTAATGTTACAGGAAGACAGAATGTTCGAATTCTCGAGTTGCACACCATCATAAGCTAAACTCAGATCATCGACAGAGTAACCAACCATGCTCTCAACCACAGTTCTGATGTCAGAAACAGTGTACAACCTTCTAACTTCCATCTTCAAAATTTCTCCACTTGGCATTTTGACTGAGATTGCCAGCATTTCCTTCGGAGCAATGATCATGTGAAGTGTTGATCCTGCTTCAATGTTGAGAGATGCCAAAGTCTTATCTTCTTCAAGCAGCTTACCAGCACAGATCAGATTGAAGTCATACGATTTGATCGTTCGTTTGGCCCCAATTGAAGACTTCACATCCTGGATAGTGTCACAAGACCTTGCTTCAACATTAATGGTGTTCTGACCATCTAGTAGTTTAACATATAATAGTAGGGGTGAAAAGTTTTGAACAAAAACCAGTAGACTGGAATTCTGCTGAATGCCGCAATCAACTAGCTTTTGATCATCCATAAGCCTATCCCCACCGAAAAATATATCCTGAAGACATTCAGATATAACTTCCTTGTCATTCAAAGCTGTTTTAAGGTTCCTGACAGTATCTGATGTCTTTACAGTCAAACCAACTGTTTTACTGAGCTTCAGAAAGATATTCATCTGCAAGACAGAAGAACAATGGGCCTTAGAGAAGGTTAATATCCATAGTTTTAACTAGTGGCAGAGTAAAACCATTGGAAAGTTTCAATCAGGTACATAAAACAGTAACAAAATATTATACAACTTAAAGTAGCACAACCCAATATGATTTGGTTCAAGAATATGAGACATGAAATAGGTAGTAACAAGAAAGAAGGAAATGTAATTCAATTCAGAGAATTCAGGAGAAAGCCAAAAGAAGAATTTTCATGTTACTGATCCCTTTCAAAAATATGAAACGGATATTAACAAGTAATCTCTCGGTCCGTCCCACTTTAATAGTCAACTTTGTTGGAATAAAAAATTGTCAGAAGGAGCAACACAAACATCCCAATATTTGTGCTATAGCGTGAGCCATGGGTTTGTTTTTGGTTGTTTTTGGGAGACATAAGAAAAGAAGTACTTCCTCTTCCCACTTAAACCTAATGGATCACTCCTTGTATATACCATAGCCCCTAAACTGATGAAAAAGCAAGAAAATTCGGCAAAACCATATTGAAAAATACTTTGAAAAAATCCCAAAAGATCTAGTAAATTTCTGCAACGAAAAGATGTTGACACTTGTTCATACTTGTATATATTTATCAACTAAAAATGATTGGGGATGAAAAGTTTCACCTTTTGTTCATCACCACCATCGTTCTGTCCTGTTGATCCTTGTCCTAATTCTTCCATTGAAAAGCAAAGATTTGGCACCCCAAAATAGTAGGCAGAATGTACTGCAGTAATCTATTAATTGAAAAAATAAATAAATAAATAAATAAACCTTTGAAGTTGAGTTTGAGTATATGAGAAACTGAGAGCAAAGGGACAGGAACATACAAGTTAAGGAGTCTCCGTAACAAGAGGCTTAGGTCTAGGCCCATTTTAACCCCTTCCAGTTCCATATTCAGAGAAACTTAAAAGAAGACACATAAAAAAGAAGGTAATATTCACTGCGCCTTTTAGGGCAAAAAAAAAAAAAAGAAAAATTGCCAACCAATTCATAATGCATAATGGAACAGAACTATAGACAACATGAATTCACTTCTTAAACACGGCCATATCGAGCATTCGAAGTGCTCACAAAATGCTGCTTTTGCACACAAGAACATTACATATGCATTCGAGAGAATGATCTCCAAGATCAGAGATTACAAAATGATAGTACAAAATCATGTGCTCATCATCAAGATGGCAACATGTTGTTTACTAATGTCTACGAAGAGTAACGAAAGGTGTCGAGTTAAGACGTTCCGGCAGTTCTGGCGAGCAGTAGTTGGTTTTCTTGCTGATTGTTGGCAATGGAGTTATCGGCAGCTTGTTTTCCAGAGGGCTCAAAGGGAGATGATGATGACCGTCGCGCTGGATTCCTTTCGATGGGCGCAAACAAGCTAGGTGGCCACGGAGCTGGTTGTTGCAAATGGGAAGTTTTGACACCTGCATTGTTGCCTCTTTTTCCTTGGCCACAGGAGCACCAGAAGGATCCTGATTGCGAATACAAATACATTGAAGTCACTACTTCCAAGGGGAAAGCCAAATATGGAAATGATTTGCAATAATATTGATTCTAATAGCAAATACAGAGAGAATATATAAATGATGACTACCACACCGGAGGCAAAACACATGTCAGGAAAAAGTGAGCTCAATTGGATTCGGCGAAAGCAATTCTTCTTTCTAGTCGGACATGAAAATGATGGCCACAATACAAAAATCTCTTCGAATTTTCATCCAAAACAGTTTGTCCAGAGTATCAGAAAAGTGAGTTTAATATGAAAATCAGTTTTCTCCCTCTAGTAACACAAAAATAACGCAGATGGCTACAAATTACTTCTAAATGCAGAACGGTTTCTTTAGTGCAGGAATTTTTTCGCTGAAAGCATTACTATTATCTGAAAGCATAATATCTCAGGGTGAAGTGGTCTGATCAGAAATATCAGCTCTCTTCTAGGCTTACAAAAATACAAGCAAGATGAAGTTTAAAGCCATTGTAAATGTCTGTCATATTTCATGGAGAATGCAAGAGGCATGTGTGTACTACTTAATAACTTCGGTCACATGTCCAGATAAAATTCATGATGTCCAATAACTGGTTACATCAGTTCAGCCAAGATGAGAATAAATATAAATTTACACAGAAAAGTGTATGGAGGGATCAGCAACATACCTCAAGCCCAAGGAATGTAAATGTAAATGACTGATTGTCAGCTCCCATGTAAATTTCTATCAGCTTCCTCAAATCAGCTAGAGTTGACTCTTTAGCCACCTTTAACGTCGTGATCAACTTCCCTGGGTTGTCCCTTGATGCTTCCCATTTCACATAAACATCCAGATCACCATTTTTTTCACCCAAAGGGTTGTGGTTCTCCTTTAAATCCATAGTATTCTCAAAACTAAGTGTTTTCACCTTCTTGGGTCCAACTGGCGTCAGGTAGTTTCCAGCTAAATTATCAGAGGCTGAGAGATCCTCAGAAAGCTTCCGCTCAGGCATAGGAGTTAAGCAGTGCTGAGAGAGCTCCCTATAATTCCCACAAAGAGTGAATATATTCTGAATTCTCAATTGCCTGGAAGCGCTGGTATCTTGCATGTCCTCTACCTTCTCCTGTTTCTTAGATGAAATGTCAGGCGAAGCTACAACAACTTGAGGCGGCTCGGCAAAAGAATCTCCATAAAATATATTTGTGGGATTGGACTCAATATCTACAGAGCTAGAGCATACTACCTTCTTCTCCTCTATTACCTCCTTTTGCACTTCCTCATCCAAGAATTGTTCTTTGTCATCCACACTATCTTCTTCTTCCTCCTCAAACACTGTGCTTAAGCACAACTTGCTGGGAAAACTTGGTACAAAGATATCATTATCTTCTTCAAATATAGAATTCTTTCTAATGTCGAGTCCCACAACACTATGATTCTCAGGGTTTCCTGCTTTGTACACCATAATCACATCACGTTTTCCCACATCCAAATCATAGGATTTATCTAAATCCATTGATTTCACCATTCCTGGATCCTCAGAATATGTCTCCAACAGCTTTCTTGCAAAGTTGCTCCCTTCAATATCAAGGGATCCACCTCCAACCCTTGGTTGGCAAACCTCAGATTCTATCTCCATTAACCGTTGTCTAAGCATTTCAACCTGCTGTTGTTGTTGAAAGAGTATGTTTTCCATCTTTCTTTCCATCTCAAAATGTTCATTAGCCTTTTTCTGACATTCTTGTATCTTCTTATCCAAATCACTGCTGAATGTAAGCTTTGCCCTTAATGCTGAAATTTCTTCTTCTTTCTTCAGAAGTTCTTTCTCCCTCAGTTTGTTTTCCATCTGTAGTTTGCAAATAAACTGGTCCATTGCTGCAATTCGTGTGCCTAAAATAGCAGCTGAGGATGTATCTTCTAGACCCTTTTCCTTAGTTGGTGTATGAGGACCACGAATGATGCACTTGGCTTTTGCTCCATATTCTAGAGTAGATATGGTCTTATGTAGCTCCTTAGGGTCAGGGCTAGCGCAAAGGATCATCAGAATTTTTGACTTGTCATCTTCAAAAGAATCCTACACCAGGAGATCAACATGAAATCACACAAAATTAATATGCAATGTGAAAGCTCATAATGCACTCCACTTAATTTAAGTAAAAGGATGTACCTGTAAAAGCATGGTTAACTTGCTGTCTCTAAATGGTACGTGAGAATCACCATTTGCTATGGACTCCACAACACGTTTCAGTGCAATATTACCCTGGTTAATCTTTGCTGTCTGCATTTACAGTGTCAGAACAATCATCAGGATGTTGGAAAATGTACTTCAACCAGAAGATTTTGGAAAACATAGAAGATTTTGGAAAACAAATCATCTAGATTTAAAACTCAACCTGCATTTTGGCCTCAAATCCAATTTGGCCAGCCTGCTCGATGTTTTCAGAACCTGCCATATCCACAAGCATAAGTCTTCCACCGACTGTAGGGACATCAAGAATTATCTGCAACCATGGGGAGTTGGTTTAAGTAGAAATAACAGAAGAAATGTGGCCAGCAAGTCTAAGTTAAAATCTTCTGTCAGAATAGCAGGTGAATGATAGAGACATACCATGCAGTGGCTCCGAGAGCTTCTCTCATTGCAAAGTGTGCTTTTTACAATTCTTCGTTTCTCAACTTTCTGGATCTCTTTTGAGATCTTTATGGCATCATATCCAGCAATATAAGTCGCATTTTTAGCCTTCTTTCCCATCACTTCCAACCTCACCTGTTGACACATTTAACACTTTTTACTAGTGCCAATGTAAACAATTATGTCGAAAACCCATATGACATAAGAACGATTTCTCAAATTTCAGAACAAAAGCATTAATATCACTATAATAAGAAATTTGTTATATTTTCTTGAGCAACAAGAACAGGAAAAAAAAAAAGTACAGGAACTTCAGTACATTTTCCTCAAGATAAAAGCCTCATATACCTATCAACATCAATGTAACTGCAGTACACTAGTACAGGACCAGCAAAATAATGCCAGAGAATAGAATCAATGTCTAAGTTATGCTCGCATTCTATTACTATCTCAAAGACATGAATCCACAAACACTGATCAAATAGAGGAAAAGAATCCAACTACAAGCTAAGAAGTTAACCCTATGACAATTCTACAGAGCATTTTAATATGAAGCTGAAAACGGAATCCCTCTCGCTAAATGAAAAATCTGATCTTTAATTGATCATCCAAGAAAAAAGAAAGCAGGTTTCTCACCTTAGAAGCACTTCCTCCTTTAGGCCACCCAAAATTAGATCCTCCACCATTAGTATTAGTCGGCAGCAAATCATAAATCTCTTCATTGTAAATTTCCAACACAGTAACTTGAACAAAAGTCCCAGGCCCTAATTTCTCACCATTTCCCTCACTCAATTCCTCCCCTTCACCCAAAATATCCTTCAATGACCGGTAAACAATCCCAGGCTGTTTAGCGCACCCAAACATTGTATGACTTTTCCCAGCACCAGTGGGCCCATACATCATTATCGTACACTTGTCACCTAATTTCACACCAAGAATCCTAGACTGAACAAACTTCTTGTAGAATTCATCAAGGCCCTCTTCCTCCGACAAAGAAATCCCATCAAGACTGAAATCCCTGTACCCAATATCTGTCTTGACCCTCAAAGATTTCCCATCTGGGTTAGTCTGCAATGCGGAAACGGAAACGGAAACGGGCTTCTTTTTCTCATCTGGGTGGTCACGAATCCTCCCGATTACTTCCACCGGATGCTCTGCCGGAACGCTGTTATTCTCTTTCATCGCCGCCGCTGAACTGGGATTCGGCGAGGGTTTACAGAGGTTGAAATTCAATCGATTTCTAGACTGTGGGGTTTTAACTTGATGGGTTTGATTCGATTTGAACAACGGTGTTGAAATATGAGGGGTGGATTTTGATGATGGTGTGGGTGCCATTTCATTTAACAAGAATAAAGATCGAAACTTTCCGGTCAGATTCTTCAAGATTTCGAAGAATTAACTCACTGGGTGTTGCTGTGTGAAAGAGAGGAAAGAAAATTAATGATGTTATTTTTTTTCTTTTTTTGAATGTTGAAGAAGAGAGAATTGAAGTGAAGAAAGAACAAGAATGAGGAAGATGAAATCCAGAGACAGGGTTTTCTTTTGTTGATTTAAAAATTAAATATATGAACTGAAAGAGAAGTAGCCGTTGCAATATGATCAACGGCTATGAAGTGGGGATGGTGTGAACCGTGAACTTTTTCCTTTCATAAAATAAATTTTATTTTATTTTTTTTTTTTGTTTTGTAGAAAATATAAAAATAAATATGACTGTCTTTCTTAAATCAATAAAATCAAATGGCACATTGAATTATTTGTGCAAATGGCATTTTTTATAACATGGTAAGAAAATCCCATTATTAATATTGATTAAACTACCCAAAATAAAAATAAAAAATTAAAAGAAAAAACCAAAGCTAAAACATAATTTGGCCCTTTGACATTTTTGGTATTCTTTTTATAGTCAACTTGATTGACCACAAAACTCTTTTCTTTTTTTGTTTCTTTTTTTTTTTTTTTTTTTACTCTATAGGTCAAAACATCTTTAACCCAATCAAAGTTCAAAACCTTTCACCTGATCAGTTTTGATTGAACTATTTCAACACATCTTTTACATCTCGACTCAATAATAACACCATCACAAACATTGTAGATTTAACATTCTTTAAAGTGCAAGATGCTAGACTAGATAAATCCTGTCTCAGGTGTGGAAACCTGAATGCTTGTAACAATTTTTAATAATGAACTAGCATTAACTGAAACATTGTTAAGAAACTATATACACACTATACACTAAATACAAGATTAGGATCATACAAGAATAGGGTTCCAAACTTCTACATTGTTCTCAAGTCGCAACAGTGTATTGATGCGGGTATTATAAACTTTTTAACATCTACACAGCTTCTAAGTGTAATGAAAGCAACACCAAAAAAATCATTCATGGTAATTGAAGTTTACGAGCAGGCGATAAGTATGTATATGTGCTTCTGAAACCATCTCAGAGCTGCAGGGATCAATGCTCTGTATAACGAAAGTTCATCAGCATCAGATCATGAGATGACAAATACCCTGAGCTCTCCTCTGTCTCCCCGAGTGATTCGCATATCAGAATCAAGATAGGTAACTTCAAACTCACCACTTCCAGTGTTAGAAGGTGGCCTTAAATTATCTGGTAGTCTTGGCACTTCTAGAGGTGGTAGCTGAGATAAATTTCCAGTTGTTTTCACTGTTGTTTTTTCAAATGTTATCTTGATGCTTGAAGCGCCTGCTTGAAGTGGAATAGTTGTTAAAGAGAAACAGATGACTAAAAGCCGGAGTTATGTCTAAGGGACTCGGAAAATAGAAGCACCAACCTAGAATTTCAAATTTGTGGGCTAGTGTTGCAGTCAATTCAACGGGTGGAAGTGGCCATGGCGCTCCTAATTCAAGCTCAACTATGTTGTCAAAGTCCTTGCTCAAAACATCAATCCTTTGGAATACCTAATCACCCAATAAGATGCAATCAGATTTTAACATTAGAAAATCTAGATTGAGGCTATGAAAAACACAATTAGAATGCCAATAATCTAGAGAACGCCATAGGTAATTACGATAATAGGGAAGTCATGCCTTATATGTTTCCTGCATAGAAGTTGGGAATTCACTGCATGCCAGCATTCTTTGAACCAAATTTTCAATGTGGATAATAGTCCAGCAAAATATTACCATCATGTAATGGCAGGCATTCTGATCACCAAGGAGTTCCTTACCTGGCCAAGAGTTATAGGGAGAAGCCTTCCAGTGGGGGGTCCAGGACGGCTTCCACCAAGAGTGCGAGATGAGAAGGCACTGCTGTAGATCAATTTCCACCTCCCCTGTAGTTTATCAATTTCAGCCAGGAGATCTACAGGTCCTGCAACAGACTCAAGCTCCTTAGCAGCAGCATCTGCCGTTCGCAAATCATCTTCACTAGCAGCAAGACCTCTATTTAGCCCAGAAACTGCACTCTGCAATTGACACACAGAGGGGGTAATTACATAAAGCCAAAGAAATTAGATGGAAAACAACGAGCCTTAGGAAATAGGGGAATGAGATGTCACATACAAAGGGCAACAGGAACATATTGTTTTATGAATCACTGGCGGGATATTCAACAGTATAATCTGATTAATGTTTGTCACCACACGCACACAACATTCCAGACAAAATTCAGAAATCTTGTTTTATGAATCTTTTGAGGGATTATCAACAGTATAATCTGATTATTGCTGTCCACTTGCAACATTTCAGACCAAATTCAACAGAAATGTTTAGTAAACCATAATCAACCAATGGTCAGAGATCCAGATATGTTATGCCATTATCAATGATCAAAGGAATAAAGCCAATCAACTTTCTCACAAACACAAAATTTGAGTGTTTCAACTTAAAGAAGCACGATCAAAAAGGGAAGACCAAAACATTATATGCACAAACTTGAATAACTACTTAGTGCTCTGTCAGCAACTCAAGTCTCAGGACATAATCTATATATTTCTATCCTTGGGAAGAACTCTTTTCTTATTTCATGTTCTCCATGTACAACTAACCAAACTGCAAAAGAGAGTTCTTGTGGCTTTGTTCATGTGAATAAGCCCTCTAGCTTCCTACTGTCTGAAATACAGAAGGTATAACAAGATCAATATTACCAGGAGACACCAGCAGCGGCCAGAAAGTTGAAGAAATCAGCACATTGTAAAGGTCATTCAGAAATGGTACTTGATAGAAAACGGAGGCTTGTTAGAATTCGATGGAATTACTTAGCCACAGGCTACAGGGATTGTTAAAGCAAACTGCACTCTGAACAACGATTAGCTGTTTCACTCCAATTAGCCGTTTCACTCAGACATCAAACAGCTAGAAAGAAACAAGAGGATAAATAATCACAACTTGCCCCGTCCAACGTGACAACTTAAGCACTAAAGTTGAAAACTTTGGTCCAGCACAAGTAGCATTACAAACTACAAGCCTCGGCAACATAAAACTCAGGGTTATAAGCTAGATATTTTATGTTATGGGGAAGATCCCTTAATTTTATTCCATCTCTTCCCATAAAAGGCTCTGGAGTCTAGAAAAAATCCAAATTGCAGAAAAGGGTTCTAGCAGAGAAACTACTTTCGGCACAATATACTCAAATCAATATGCCCTATAGCATCATAAAGATAAGACAGGATCAATAATACTAGAAGATAGACTACTGGCGAGAAAGTTGGATAATTCAAGACTTCATAAAGCTAAATTAGAAAGGGTAATTCATTCAAAAGGGTACAAATCAGTTAATGGAGTTAAATAACCACAGTGCTTCTTGAAGAAACCTGCACTCTAAAGTTAAATACAAACAGCTCCAAAAAAAGAAAACGAAAAAGCCCATCTAGAAATCCGAAGCATTGAAGTTACACACACTGTCTCAAGCCATGTCATTTCTCCTATATGGATAGACAATGTAATAGAATACATAAACAAGTCCTTATCCACTGACGAATTATAAACCAGTTCAACCAAAAAAAAAAATAAATAAATAAATAAAGGAAAAAGCACTATGAAATGAGGTAAAAATACCAGCAATTTAAGCTTCAAAGACCCAATAAACTCTGCTTTTGATTTATCAGTTTCGGAAGGGGAATATGTTGCAACTTCATCAAGGGCCGAGTTGCAAACGAACCCTCTCTTCTTGACATCACAAGATTTCCTTGCCCCAAATGTGGAAGAATTGAAAAAATTCTGGGTTCTTCTTCTTGTTGTTGGAAGAAGACAAGTTGAGGAAGTTGATGATGTGGAATGACGATGATGAACGAGTGGAATTGAAGAGTGAAGCAGAGAAGTCATGGTTGAAAATTGCTGCGGAAAGCAAAACTTCGATTGGGTTTAAAGGGGGAAAAAAAAGAAAGTGATGATCTTTTTGAAGTTTTTGATTGGTTTAAGGAAAATGCCTTAGATTACATGCCCAGAAGTTTGTGTTGTTGGAGTTTCCGTGTACGCACACAGTCCAGATGCTTCTAATAAGCTCATAAAGGGGGAAAAAAAAAATCTATAAATTAGATATAGGTTAATCTTTTAAATGAGAAAATTAATAATGTATGTGAAAATGAATAGAATATATAGTGTTTATTCATCATTCTATAATATTTTAATTAGATGATATAAATTTCGCAAGTCCAATTTTAAGATTTTGATTTTTTAAATTTGGATTACTTTTTTAGTAATCATTATATTCTTTCCGAAAATTGAAAAGGCATTTTTATTGATTTTTGTTGTAAATAAGATTTAGACATGTATTGATAAAATGATAATAACAAAACATTAGTCCCGACCAAATATATATATATATATATATTTATATATATATAAGAAGTTACTTCTTTTCCTTTTTTTTTATTACACTTGTATGTGATTTTATTGTCAAACCAATTCCAATTTAAATAAATAAAACTTTATTCACATACTAGCTAAACAGTGTTTACTTTCGACCATAATATCATGATCGATTAGATTTAATTCCTAACCACAATGAGTGTGTGTTAAAAGGTGGAGTATCACAAGTTAAACCATCTCACACTCTGGCACTTTCTTCTCCATTGACGGTATTTCTAGGCTTGCAAATGACCAACTCCGGCCATTGTCAAAACTAAACAACAATGGTTTCTTTTCACACAAAAAAAAAAAAAAACAACAATGGTTGAGTTATTTTTCTCAAATAACCTTACTCATTAAACTATTTCTGTAAATAACCTATATCTAAATCATATTACTTCAATGATTTTAGTTGTGCCATGGCATACTATAAATTGCCCTGAATGCGTAAATGTAAAAAATATTAAGATTAATAGCCTCTCGACTTTTTTCTCTCCATTACCGGGTTTCCTTTTCTGTTCTTCTTTTTTCTTGTATTTCAACTTTTGCAAATACTTATCTCCATTATCCTGCATTTCCTTTTGTTTCTTTTTCCTTTCTCTCTTGCAACCATGAAAACGAATCATTTGGAATATTTGAGCAGGAACTTTCCCATAAATGGAATACTCAAAGCTGAAACCTCTAGCTGTTTCAAGGCTTTGATTAGTCTTTCATTCTGCAGGTAAGGTGAGAAATGTTAAAACACCAAAAAAAAAAAAAAAAAAAAACAAATCAAGAAGAAGAGAGTATTCTCTGGAAAAAAAAAAAGCATCCAAAATCCTTTTTGGCATTTTATCAAACATCAAACAAGCCATAATTTTTTCATGATAAAGTTTCACAATATACTATCTTCGGGGTAGACCGTATAAGCTTAAACATCAACAAGATAAGTAATTAACTATACAAATTTGATCTTTCCTTAAACTGATTCTTGCCCCATAGAACTAATTGGTTAATGAAAAGGATAATACTGACATTGGTCAATATTTTACGTTCAGAGATTTAATGTAATACAAAATGCAATTTTGAGTCACTGATTAAGTAATCTTTGCCCAAAATTTGTCACTGCCAAGAACTCGACAAGTTGCTATCACAGTCAAAGACAAGGGAAATCGGGAGGGGGAAATTGATATTAGTTAGAAATGAAAGACCCAAAGTCTAGTCAACTAATCACCTCTTTCATTCGTTCAGTGTCTCGGACCGACGAACACCAGTTGAAGTGAGCAATTTGTTCCGACGAGAATTTGGCGGAGGAAATAAACTGTCCAGCGACTCTAGTTGCCCAGTAGAGAAATATTAGGAGGAAAAAAAAAAATTCTTTTCGTTCAGGTGGAAAATTTAAGAATATGTGGCAGTATGAAAGACTAGACGAAGTATTTGTTTACAATTTATGTTACTAATGTAAATAGATTAATAGATGAGATTATTTGAGGAAAAAACTAATGATGGTTTCAGATACCTAGTAAAAAGTCAATTAGTTAACTCTTCATTTATTATGATGATGAAATAAATGATCAAGAAAGGTAAGAACAAGCACCCCAAACTATATGTCCTAAACCCTATTATTGCCCGATCCTCGAGTTTCTTTTATAACAACAAAAACACCCTTTGATCACGAGGTCAGCAGACAAAAAGAACCCACCACCACTGGAATGAAGGCAAAGATTTGTATGTGAAGACAAATATCTCCTTGTCATAGAGAGCCAAGTTTTTTCTTGGATAAAATCTACCGTTTTATCTTTTGATATTGATTGTAGCCCTAATTTTTCATTCTCCCTCCAACTTGCAAATTTATACGGTACCACCTCAAGCTCCACCGTCAAGCTGCCACCGCCATCATATCTTAAATTACCACCTTGATTTGAGGAATTCAGGATGTAAATATATTCTAATGTGGAGTGTTGCACGACACTCTTTTTTTTATGAAGGGGAAGAAGTGGTAAACCTCAATAACACATAACCAAAATTAGGCACAAGACTTTGGGACTAAAGCCAAACATTTCTTCAAATTTTGAGTCTAAAATCCAGCACCTCTATAGTTTGGGATTAATCTCTTGGATTTTCCCAAACCTTGGGACTAAAACATAGGCTTTCCTTGACAATGCCGTTGACTATTATTTATTTATTTTTATTTTTTTTGTAATTTCAAGTAATTTTTCCCCCCTCCCGCTCAATAATTATTGATATCCGTTAAGCAACATAGAGTTAGTTCGTGAGGCAATTCTAAGACCAAAAAATTTTACAGTAACAACAGTATTGTCATCTTTCTTATTTAATGATAATTATTGATATGAGTTTTCTTCTACAAAGGATTAACACGTGTTAAGTAAACGATTAGAATGCACTTTCCAGTTCCAAAACGTTTTGAATTTTTAATTTTTTTAATTTCAAATTGTACTAAAAATAAAAGTTCAAACTGGACAATCATCATTTGGGACGCGGAGGGAGTATTTGTTATATTCATATGTTTCAAGGTAGCAAAATGAATAATTGAACGATGTGAAATATTTTAGCCTACAGATAAAAAATTATCTCTATATTAAAATACACATTTATGAGCAATTTTTTCGGTTTAAAATTTTATTCTCTTCTATGGGAGGTACAACTTGTTCAGAAGAACAAAGGAATAATCAAAGCTTGACTATTCATTGGAACAATTTTCTTACATTCCTCCTTCTGACGCTTGCAACAATAAAATAGTAGAACGATGTTATATCGTCCCCCCCTAGAAGTAACGTGTAGCTATCCTATATGGATTAGTTCTTCTCTTTTTCGCTTTTGCATTTTAATCTTCTCTATGCCTTTTGACTTGTTAATTTGTATCATGAAAACCAGAAGTTATATATGTTTTCTCCAATTTTTACTCATATATATCTATATTATTATTAATTAGTCGTGGCAGAGTTAACTTGAGAAGCAAAAAGCATTTTAATGATTTCATAAACCTTTTTATCTCTTTAAATTTTGATATGAACTTTTTACTTATCAAAAGATAATTAGAAAAGTGAACTAAATGGTTTGTATACCTTTTTTCTTTAATTAAATGGGTTGTCATTAAAATACGTGTAACAAATTAATTTCAAAGGGAAACAAACAATTTAGCGTTAATTAAACTTTTAAGTGCCGATGAAGAGAGTTTCATGATTGATCGTTTAGTCCATTTCTATTGTAAATACAGTAATCATATCTGTAAATAGCTTTACTGTTAAACATTAGTTTGTGTACAGATTTACACTTTTGATGCGTATTGGAAAGTTAATTAAGTAAAGGGTATAGGTGACGTTGTACACAGAGTTTAGACACATTAATTAGTCGTAAATGATAGGTTAGAGTAGATATATATATATATATATATATTTATATATATATATATATATAGGGAGCGGCTAGAGTCCCGTTACGGGACGGTTCCGTTTTAGGATAATAACGGTAGGATTAATTAGACTAATTGATAACCGTATGATTAAAATGAAGGTGCATCATAAGTAAATACACCTATATTCATATTATTAACCAGAAAAAATTTAAGACTATGGTCAATTTTACCCAAAACTTCAAGTGTCTGGCCAATTTTGACCCAAAAGATTTTTGGGAAGTCAAATATATAATCTAAGTTTTAATTTCTGGCCAATTGACTAAAATTCGGTTAGATTTAATACCTCTGCTAACATTTCGTTACTTTGTACAGTTTTTTTTATTAGAAAAGATTTTTGGAGACCCCTTAATTTTGGCATCTTCACTCCAAATGATTTTAGTTGTTCTAAAATATATCCATAGGATTTTTAAAATTAATAAAATTAAATTAAATTAATAAAAAATTCTTTTTTTCAAAATTTCAATTTATTTTTTTTAAAAAAATTTCTTTCTTTATTTTACCCAAGTCCATCATTGTAAAATTTTCATCCTATATTTTATCAATTACAATGAAAATATTTATTTTCTAACAAATTAATATTAAATAAAATAATTCTATATTAATTAAAAATTGAAATCACAACTAATAAAATAATATAATATTAATAAAAATCATTTTTAAAAAATCAATATTTAACTTTTTAAAAACAATTTTGACGTACTTTTTAAACTTCAGCCCATCACTGTAGAATTTTCATTCTATTTCATCCTATATTTTGTAGATGCTACAATTTTTTATTAGATTCTACTAATAGGTAAATATAACTCAAAACAATTTCATAAATTAAAACATATCCAAAATAAGAAATTAGATTAGAATAAAATCTTAAATTTTAACTTAATTATTCATTTTATCAGAACTTGTCATAAAAGTAATATTTTTACTTTATTGTAAGCGCGCTAAATTAAAAATTATATCAAAATTTGTGCAACGAAGGTACATTTATTTTTTTAAAAAAATTTCATTTCAGTTTCAAAAATTAAACTTTTTAACTTTTTATTAATTTATTATTTATTTTAATTCGTAATGATTTTTATGAATATAATTATTTTAATATTTTTATTAATATTTTATTCAATATTATTTTTTTGAAAAATAAATATTTTTTATTCCAAAAATACCCTATTGACTTAAATATAAAGATGGTCAAACTCTTAAAATAAAGATGGTCAAAGTCAAACTCTTGGAATAGTGCCAAAGA